TGCTCCCAATAAAACCATTTGAAGGCAGCAATCAATGGAAAGCAATCAGAGTTACTTAGCTAAAATGGCATAATTTTCTTTCAGAGTAATGCTAAACTGTATGTTGTGCAGGCAGAAATTATTAGATTCCAGAGCTGGGTGTATTTCACTCATCCAACATATTCAGCAACTATTACACATTTGGATCAACATTTAATTTAGTTTTTACAGAATTTTTCTTATGAAGAAATTTCAATTCCCTGGATAACTGCAAAAAGCATCTAAAACATTTCTTTATCAAAATAGATAAAAAAAAACAAATTGAGAGACTGGAATTATGAAGTTACTGAAAAGATGATAGAAGATACCATAACAAAACAGTAAATATGTTGTTTGATAAAGTTTATGTTCAGAAAAAAAAATTCTTTTATGTTTACTAAATAAATCAAAAATTTGTTTTGGGCCAACTCACCATGTATGCAGAAAAATGTATTATACATGCTGAATCATAATACAGAACAACTTTTGTATGGTATCAGGAAATTCTAATCTAAGTAAAGATATCTTTGTATATAATTTTCTGCTCTTCTTGTCACAGGGCAAAGATCTTTGCAATGACCAGAACAATGAAACATACAATGATTTTGATCCAATTGTACCAAGCCACAATGGTAACAAACACTTCTCATTATGCATCTATAATCCTGTCTAATAATAAAAACTGAGAAATTATTATAATTTTTTCCATATATCCATAAATATTGGTTAATTTACAATTATAAACCTTTAAAATAGCTGTTTCTTTAGAAACATCTCTTAAAATGTAAACTACTTACAATAAAATTACTAACAGTAGTCTTAAGCTACATAGACATTCATATATTTACATTTATCTTTATTTTTATTTAATAATTTGAAGAAGGAGTTACTTTTCTCTAATGATGGCTAATGCAACTGTATATACATCTATAATTCTATATTACAAGGTTAGGAAAATAAGTAAGGATAACTTATTGCTCTTAAATTATGTAGCCATAAATTGTTGATAGAGATTTTCTTAATGCCTATGAAAGTATTTATAGGTTATAATAATAAACTATAAAATAAAACATACTTGTCTCTCATTTTCAAATATATAATTATAGTTTTATAAAAAGAGGAATTAAACTGAATAAAGAATTTTGTATTTGATATTTCAGATATTACATACTGTCCAAATAATGAAACTGATATCACAGTGCCATCATTTCCTAACAATGTTGCTGATGGGAAACCAAATAGCCCTGGTTTATCTCCTTGTGGCCTATCTCTGGAAGAATTTCAAAATGACTTTTCAGAAAATACATTTCAAGAATTCTCAAATGAGTTTCCTTTATCATCACACAAAGCATTTCCTAATCTTAGTTTTGTTTCAAAAAATCAGAAATATTATAAAGGCTTTGGAGAATCAAGTTTTGAACACTATCCAAAAACAGAATGGGGCTCACAAGTGAATTTCAACTCCCATTGGAAAGATTCTGGCAAAACATTTGCTTTTAGTGGACTTCCAGAAACTGAACAGACCAAAAGTCATTGTTTAGGTTTTTCTAATTCTCCAGAAAATTTAACTCTAGATTCACTAAATGGGAATCCCAATGATAGTCTTCATGAAATCAATAAAATTACCAGAACCTTAAATAATGAAGTAAATAAAACAATTATGAAAAATATAGATCTTGATATCCCACCAAAAATGACTTCAAATAATAATGATTGTCTTGACGAGTTTAACTCCACAGAACCTAAAAACTTAGAAATTCAACAAACTCTTGTTTCTGATAATGAAGAGTCTAACTCATCAGATTGTCAGTTAATTTCTTCAGAAAGTTTTAAATATGAGCATAAAGGAATTCATTCTGATATGAAGCCATTTTCATCGAGAAGCAAAACAGAGCCAGTAAAATGTAAACCATTTGAAGATAGTGTTACTCATGAAAATTACAATTTATATTATTATTCTCCTAAAGCCCACCCTGATGAGAATAATGAGTTGGAAAATATGGAAACTAATACAGAGAATGATTTTTCTGATGATAAACACTTAACATTATCTCAGGAATCAATATGTCTAGAAAAAGAAAAACACATTTACAATTCTCTGAACCTTGATAGAAAAATATTGATAAATAGAAACAATGGGGTATCTAACCAGATTGGGAGCCAGAGAAATATAAGAGACTGGAATTTTATTAAAGAAAATCATGTAATTACTCATTCCCAACAGAAAATTGGCTCAATGCAATTTTCTGATGCAGATCATGATGCTGTTACTCTATTTCCTGAAAGTGAGTTTCAACAAACTTCTTATGGTTTTTATAAGAAATCCACATCTGACAATATCAGAGAATATGACAAACCTGAAGAAAATGATAATTCTATTTTATGCTCAAATTCTTCTTCTCAGTCCTTTGATCTTCTGCCTCAGAATGAATCTGAAAGACAAGATGAAGATGACAGACAGTTGCATAATCAACCAGATTTTAAAATCTTGGATCAGATACACAATGAAAGTCAAAATACTTTATTTGAACCTGAGATTTCATTGAATCAGAAACAAACTGAAAGTTTTAATCCAAAATACTCACAGCTGAATACTAAAGATAACAATTCTAAAAATTTGGTAACACCAAACTCTTACTTATTTCATTCCTCATCAGGGCATCTAAAAATGATCATGCATAATTCTTCATCCCTACTTCCCCAAGTGGCAGAGTTGTTTGAATCTTCTTTATTAAACCAACATTCTTCAATGATCCTAAACCAAAGTCCTAGTCTTGCAACAACAAAATTTACAAAGAACCAATTTGAAATATTGCCAGATATTCTCTGCTCAGATAAAAGTTCAAAGGTAAACAAAAATGCATTCAGGGTGGTTCTCACCAAATTTATATACACTTATTCAGCTTATGATACATTGTTGAATCATGAGAATGTAATTCTTTTATCTCTAACCCTTTCTCTAATATTTACTCTTAAAATCATTAAATTAAAAACAGCTTTAATTAACACTATTTACATTATTCGGACTATTGTCCTCATCTTTGTCACCATATTTATTACAATGTTTCGGCCGTTGTACACTCCGGCCTTCTTCAGGTGGTTGGAATGTCAAACTGAACCCTTTATTTCGCTCACTGGGGTAGACTTTTCTAGTCCCACGTGCCATGTTTAATAAAGGGTTCAGTTCGACATTCCAACCACCTGAAGAAGGCTGGAACGTACAATGGCTGAAACGTTGTAATAAATATGTCGACAAAGTTGAGGACAATAGTCCGAATAATGTAAATAGTGTACATAATACCTCATCTCAAAAATATAGACAGAGTTTTAATTAAGTTTTAAATATAGCAGTTGTGAAAACCTGAAATACATATGCATGTATACATATATAAAAGTATGCATGTAAACATATCCACATTTTGTTAATAATTACTATGTTCAATGTTTTGAATTTAATTCTGTAATTAAGAGTAAAGATGTAAAATCTTTTTTTTTAACTGAAAATTACAAAATATTATGGAATTATACACTGATAAGTGAATATATTTTTAGAGGACACCCTACAAGATCAGTTAAATTTACTGTTTATCTGAGTTTATACAACAAAATATTTTAAACTATTTGATGACATTCAGAAAATTTTACAGAGTGTGATGGGTAAATTGTCTCCATTTTATATTTTTGATTTTGCACATACACGTTGTTTGTTTTGGGTTTTGTCAACTGCACAGTATAGTGGGGTCAGTTGGGCACCATCTGTGAGAAAAAGAGCACCATGATGAAATTAACTCTGCCAGAAATTTGGAAATGGCATACTGTACTGCTTGGCATTCACACCAGAAGCTCTAATATGAACATTTCAGAGTGTTTGGGAGTCAATCTGAGGACAGTGCAGAGGATTCAGAAAAAATTGTATGAGTGTAATGGTGATTATAAAGGTGTTTGGAGTGATCACTAGTCATGGCAACATTATGCCTCCATTCATCTTCCCACAGGGCCTCAACATAGAGGCCTACATCAAGTGCCCAGAGGAGGTAGTGTTGCCCTGGGTCAAGAGGGTGGCTACTGGAAGACCCAATGTCTGGCAACAGGACTCTGCACCATGCTACTCAAGCAGGAAAACCCAATCATGCCTGCCAGACAATTTCTGCAACCACATCACTCCTTACATCTGGCCACCTAACTCACCAGACTGCAATCCCCTTGATTATTACATGTGGGGTGCAGTTGAGTGAGAGACCAACAAGTGGAAGTCATCTGGAGCCCAGGGTTGAAGCCAATGGTGATTTTATTGAATTAATTTACTCTTTCATCTTTCAAGATATTTTTGTGTAATTTTGGTAAATATATCCATTAAAATGATATGTTATTTTCATTTTTGCATAATTTAGACAACAGTTTATCCCTCACACCCTGTATATGTAGTCTTTTTCTTGTGTAGAAATGGTGTATTTTCATTTATCTACTGAATATTTTAATCTTTTCAAAAAAAACTAATTTGATAAAATATCCAAACAATATTAGATAAAAAAGAAAAAAAAGTTGGCACTAATTTGAGAAAAAAAAGCAAGAGAATACTCCTCTTCTTTTTTTGTCTTCTAATTTAGCTGGACAAAATAAAATTACTAAAAGTTAATGATTATGAAAGCCATTTTTAACAAAGCAATTTTTTTCTCATATGTTTTTGTTAAATAAAAGTTACATTAGAAAGTTTCACATACCACTTCACACAAACAAAGAATTCATGCTGCCAGTAAATTATACTTTTTAAAGGTCATAAAGTAATATAAGGTAATCATTGAAATAATAGAAAAACTGTATAAAAAGTGTATAAAAGCTGTGATATTGTATCACTGCAATAAAGCATTAATTGGATAGTATAAAATTAATTAATGGAGAGTAGTAAAATTGATTCCCTTAAGTTAAAATAAATTTCTAAATGTTTCTAATACACAAAAAAAATAACATTAATTTTATTTCAGAAACATAAGCATGAGGAACTAAAGTTCCCAAGTCAGCAAGATGTTGCAGGAAATATGGTTCCAAAAAGAAGAATGGTTATTCCTGTTACCTTTCAAAATGTAACAGAATACAAAAACATTCTAACCTCTGTGCTAAAAGGTAAGCGATTATTTATGTGAATGCCATAAAAGACATAGGTTTATGATTTGACCTTTTCTGTGATTGGATCTCTGAAATAAATATATCAACATTTTAAAATTGATTTCATAAAATATTATAATGACAATAGCTAATTACACAACTGAAGAAATTAAAAACACACACACACACAAGGAATTAGAACCAGGTACATATGATTACATTGTAGATCACAATCAAAAATCCTGTAATCTATTGGTGCCATAGGGATACCACATGTACTGCAGCCATACAAGCAGTGGCTCATGCAAAACCAACAGAGCTCATCCTTCCTCAGACTAGTTTTGAATTCAGAGTTGCTCCTCTCTTAGACTGGTTACCCTACTAAGGCCAAATAGCCAATAGAATAGCTACCACCCAAAAGCAAGAGAGAACAGTTTGCCCTACTATTTAACTCAGCTGGAGGAAGATGCATTCATGCCTTTTCCAAGGGATGGATCCATCTACATTACTTTTCATTTACATCAGATTGATAACATAATGGAAATGAAACAGATTTTATATTAATAATATGATGGAAATTAAATCAGCAAGGTCTTAAATCAGGTCAGCCTTGATGATTTACAAATTTACTCAAATCAACAGTAATTGATAAAAAAAATCATTTTTATACTTTGTAATCTGTTTCCTATTCTGTCCACAACAAGCTAAGGGCCAAAATGCAAATATCTCAGAAGTTGAAATTGAGTTACAACTAAAAGACTTGAAGGAATGAGTTTTATTTCTCTTTATGATAAAATGAATTTGCTGATTATTAAAATCTTTAAGAAATAGTCATCCTTTTTATATAAATAAATTTGATTTATAAATGCTAAAATACAAAATTTTCTATTCACTGCATTCATAGAAAGTATAATGATTTTTATATAATGATTTATCTCTTTTTGACAAAAAATTATAAGATTCAGCTAATACAGTTAACAAAAGAGTATGCTGATGAAGTGATGACAAATATATATATATATATATACCTATGCTAGAATATTAAATGCTGTAAAAATGGATTTTATCTAACTACAACTTAAAAACAAAATTTGTCAGAGAAAGTAAAAAAATAATACAGGGAAAAAAATTCTTATTATTTTTGAATGATAATATTACTTTTAACCATTGTAGAATTTGTGACAGAATTTTTTGAATGAGGAATTATCATTATATATTTTGCTATTCAGGCCAGCATTTCCATCTTGTTATGCTTACAATGTTTTGGCTGTTGTACTCTTCAGCTTTCTGTCTTTGTACTGGATAACCTTCTTATAATTTTAAATTGAACCCCTTATTCAATCCATTGGGGGTGGGGGGTGGATTGTCCTCATTCTGCTTTCTTAGGGAATATTTCATATAAGTTCATACTTATTATTTTTAAACTCATTTGTGTCATTTGTTCATTTCTTCCACTGAACCAGATTATGTAACTTTTCAGTACTGCCAGAGCCAGCAATTGAAATCACAACTGCCGGAGAACTTAATATGTTTTAGCCAACACTTTAATCTACTAGATTATGTGTCATTTGGAACAAAGGTGAATAAGACTAGTGAATATTAACTGATATGAAATATTTCCTAAGCATGGAAATCAGAATGAGAACAACCTACCACTGTAAACTGAATAAAGGGTTTTGTTCAAAATTCCAAGAAATTTACTAAGTATGAAGACAGCTACTTGAAGAAAGCCAGACAACAAAATATGAGCATAATGGCCAAGATGAGGATGCTAGTCTGAATTGCAAAGCTCTTTCATAATTATTGTAAAACTTGTAAAATAAATACTATACACATAGAGATCTTAAGATATGCAGCTAATTTCAAAATAAATTTTTATTTTTTTTTTAATAATTTTCAGAGCATTTGAATATTATTTTATTTGAGTTATCCAGCAACTATCACAATTCCATGTCTAAAGCTGATTTGTCTTCCTACCAACAATCTTGTGAGTTTTTCTTTTATTTTACTGTTATCTTGAAAGATTATTTATCAGCTTAATTTAAAATTTAAATTTATTTCTCAGCTTTCTTGGATTTATTTTTGTTGTATGTACTATAAAATTTTTTTATTATAGAGTTAAATTGTAGTATTTGAACCACTCATTCTCAACCCTTAAAAGCATATTCTCAGAAAATCTCCTTCAAACTTAGCATATTTAGATTATTACTATCACCAGAAGCATAACTAGAGTTGATGGTAACTTGAAAAAATTACAAAAAAAAATAGCACCTCTTAAAACAATTTTGAATGAATTCTTGTAATAGAATTGATGTCTCCACCGGCAGCAGATTTAGTAGTTATGCCAGGGTCATAATATAAATTTTTTGTGGGGAAACTCCTTTATTAAAGGGTATTGTGTACTATTAATGTCATAAAAAAGGAGATAAGAGAATCATTTATTATTAGTATAGTAACTATGAAAAATGACAGAATTATTTACATATGCCGAGGATTAAAGCATCTGTGTATTTTACCTGGAATCAAAACATTACTTCCCTACTCAAGTATTTGTGCACTCTGACGAACTTAAATATTTGTAAGCTAATTTTACCATGCTGTTCAAACAGCAAAACACTGCTGTAGTGGAGCTAGTTCTTTACTTATAGTGACTCTAGTCACTTGTTTGCTTACTTTCAAATCAGGACAAAAATCACTTGTTAACTTTATCTGTTTACTTTAGTACAACAGGAGTTATAGACAGAGAAAGAAAATAATACAGAAAAATGCTAGTTTATCCATACCATCAAAAATGATGTAAAATTATTTTTATGCCCTTATTAATATGCCAAAACTTTGATTCACTCTAATGATTACATATATGATGATATAATAAATACTAAAAGCAGATAACACAATTTTTGTGATAGATTCAGTGGATGAACAAGTATTTTTACTGTATCAGTTTGGAAATAGTATCACATTTAAAATATGAAAATTTGGGACTAACTAATGATGAAATCAAGATTAAATAATAAACAACAAAACCCAAGTTTTTGTTAATATTTATATTATAAAGCTGAAAATCAGCTTTGGTTTATAGCAGTGGCATCTCATGTATAGACACTGCAGCACACCCTATTTTTACTCGATATTAATGATAACATTCATCAGTGTCTTTTTTTTCTTTTAATTTTTCTTTATACTTGTACATTATATAATCCTTAAGCTTAATGTCAATAGCCATCCCTTCTTTAATGAAAAATTAAAAAAATACTTATATGGAACCATGTGCTTCACAGTTCCAGTAATATAGTATTTGGTTTTTGTGCACATACACACATGTCTGAGGAAAGAAGCTGAACACTGGTTAGAGAGAGCACTGTCACTCACGCACTACTGAACCTGTTGTCCAAGTGCAAGGTAGTGTTTATTTTTGACTCAGCATGTGCTGTCCATAAAAACCATGTTCCATATTCTTGAATGTGATAAACTGTAGATGACTATCATGCTTCCAGCTATTCTATTTAATTCATTGTTTTTTTTCGGTTGTTTTATTGTATAGAAAATTTTAATAATTAAACCTGACCTCCTTGAATCCCCAAGAAATAAGTTATGTGGCAGTAAATGAACTACAACAGCTTAAGTTTTTACAGTTGTCTCTCCATGAAAAAGTTACAGTTAAGAAAAGAGATACCTGATATTCAAATATTTCAGACAGCAATAAGCAAAAAGAGGCATATTTAAAGCTTTAATTTGGAATGTTATGAACAAAAAAGTTGGAAGTGATGTAACATTGACAAAAGACGGTTTTAAAAATATAAACCAAATGAAAGATAAAGCTGAAAAATATGAAAAATCAAAGAGGCATATTGAAAATGTGGTTTCACTGTCACTTTTAGGAAATGTAAATATTAAGGAGAAATTTAATGAGGCATACAAACTTTCAATCAATGAGCATAACATGAAGGTTAAAAAGAACCATGAAATTTAATGCAAAATAATAAACTGTATTTTATTTTGTGGAAACTTTGAAGCTCCTTTACATCAGCATGATGAAAAAGATGATTCCGTAGATCCATTGGTATTTAGAGGATTAATAAACTTTGCAATAACAGGTAATAATAAAATTTCTTACAATTAACAATAACACATTTCTAAAAACAATTTTCAGATTACATCTATATTTTCATTGTCCTGTTATTACCGAGAAGTAAAAAACAAAAACAAATCTATTTCCATACCTGATGATGTCTGTAGGAACTGATGAAAGCTTGTAAAAAACTAAAAAAGACCTTATGCAACTGGAATTTATAAACAGGGATCATAACATTCATATATAGGTTCAGGGTTAATGTACTTTATTAAATTTGTTGCGAAGATGTATTCTCGCCATTTAAATCATTAAACTTCTATATCTGTTTTTTGTATGAATGATTCATGTAATGTAAATTGAACTGCACCACATATTTGATATATATATATATATATATATATATATATATATATATATGGTTTAAAATTGGGTATATTTATAGGGGAAGAAGATTACTCAATATCAAAGATAGTGTTTATTGATATAGTGCAGATATAGAAATCTGCACACGATAAAAATATAGTTTTAAGTTATGCTATATTTATGGGTCAAAGTGCTCACTCAAGTAAACAAAAGTACATAAATAACTTTTTTTATTTTGTTAAGTTTATTATTTGTTGTTGATTATTATTATCACATTTATTTGTGTTCATGCGTGAATTTAGTTAATTTGTTTGTTATTTACGTAATTCATTTACTTATTAAGGTTTTTGTTTATTTTATTTTACTTATTTATTTTTATTTATTTATTTTCATATTAATAATACAAATGATAAAGTAATCAAGTAATCAATAATAAATATAAATAAGTTAACAAACAACACTATAAGATAGCTACAAAATAATTTAATTCAGATTAACAATTATCAATAGCCTCTAGAATAATTTGAAACATAACCATTATTGCCCCAAAACAGCTGTTTGGATAAGACACCATTGACCAGCATATACAAATAGTGAAGTCAAAACATAACACACATGGCCTGAAGATTATGTTAGAGCATGAAACAGACTGTTACTGCTGGGTTTTGACCTCACTGTTTACTTTTGTTTTTGGGTGTGTTTGTGTGTGTATATAATTTATTCAAAAATGTATTTTATATATATATATATATATATATATATATATATATATATATACAGACCAAAAAAAAACAGACCACTTTAAGGTACCATTACAATAATTTATTTCAACAAAATCCTTTTTGAAGGACTCCGAATCATCAGGTAACACTTCCAACAACGAAATGAAAGGAAAAAATTTCGTTAATCCCTTTAATAATGAAGCACTTCAGAAGTCACCTAAAATTAAACTTTAACTATAAAATCAAACTAAAATCTAAATAAATTTCAAACGTTAAAATATAGGTAATGATTGAGAAATGTACGTGTGTATATGTAATTTATGTATGAAGATGGATGAACATTTGTGTATATTGTTGCACGTGTGTCTATGTGTGTATTTGCACATGTAAATGGACGTATGTATATGTGGATTTGCATGAATATGTTTTTTGTGAGATACATATAAGAAGAAAACAAAATCTTTAATATTACCTCAAATATTATTAAATAATGAAACCTAAACCTTAATTAAGTTTATCCATATAATAATAAAGAAAAATTACATTCATAAATTAGATTTAAAGTAAAACTAATATAGATGTTATTGTTACCAAAATTTTTTTACAATATTATGAAAGTACAATTGGTCGGGTAAATAAACAATTATAATTTTAAATATTTCTTTAATATGTTCTCGATAAATGTGCTAATAAAAAAGTAGTTAACTTATATTAAATCCCTAATGTGCTAATAAAAATAGTAGTTAACTTATATTAAGTCCCTAAACTATTTTACTTAAAAAACTAAATGTTTAAATTGATAACATTCATCATTTTTTAGACATCTAAATTTCTATCAAGCATTGAAATCTATCTTTTACATAAGTTTGTTAAAACAAAATTACAGCCTTTTCGATTCACTTCCGTCTCTCCCTCTCTCTTTGCCATAACACTCATTTAGATATATCTGTATTACTGCTGTCTATCTCTTTTCCATTTTTTCTTTTCTTTTCCCCCCACTACCCTCCCATTCCTATATATCATTTCCGTTAAGTTAACCATCTAAATAGGTCACGATTAGGTCACTCCTCCTACCCCAATATAAAACATGCTTAAGAGAAATATGAAATTTACCCCTCTCTGTAATCTACCTTGTCTCGTTAACTACAACTATCACTCTCCCTGTTAAATTACAAAAATTACACTACCCATCAATTTCTAATCCCATATTTCCTTTCATTTTGTTGTTGGAAGTGTTACCTGATGATCCGGAGTCCTTCAAAGTTCTTCGTAACTTAAATATATATATATATATAGTCAATATAAACAGTTATAAATATATGAAATTAGATAGACAAAAGTGTTCAGAGGCTGTGATTTATACTGCACCTATGTTGTATAAATCGTAGGTGAACTTTGTGGGTGTTGAACAAATGCAAATCTGCTTGAGCAGGCCTCTGCAACAGGGATTGGCTAGCCACCATAGCAAACAGGTTTGCTTAAAGTAAGTAACCAGCCATTATGTGCGTGTGTGTGTGTATGAGAGAGAGAAATTGATTTGATAAGCATGTGGCATCTAATTTTTACATTTATGAATGTCTTTTTCACCTATATACCATTTTTCATTTATATCTGACTCAAAAGATTTTATGATAATTCATTCAAATCATCTCACTTATGTTTTTAGCCATTTCCAACAAATATCCCCTGGCCACAGGATCTCAACACCAATATCCTAATTGCAACTGTGGCTTGTCCTCAAAAATGATACAAGTACGAAAAGATGGCAAAAATAAAGTAAGTACTTTTAAGTATTTGATTAAATATTGAGCATGAAGGCTCAAGCACATTGATCCACACAAAGTAAATGATTCATTCTTTTTTTCATAATAATCTAAAAGGACAATTTACACCTGATGATAGTCACTTTTTTCATAATAACAACAAATAAAAAATAGTTTATAGTGTGATAATGTAACATCAAATGGCAACAAAATTTTAACTGAGAAACCACAGAAATAGAATTACATCCCAACTCCTATTTTGAGAATTAACTATTCTGTACAAAATCCTATTTTCTTTGCCTTGTAACTGCCTAAAATAAAAGTATTTCATGTGTTATTCTTACTGGGAAGCTGAAAGTAGGAGTTTGTTAACTTGAATTTTAAGATTTCATTGAATATTTTCGGGTTTTTAAAAATATTTGAAGGAAGATGTTGGCTAGTTTTTGTAAAAGTAAAAAAAAAAAAAATCATGAAAATATTATATTAACATTTACAAGATATAAAATTGTTAATTATGGACAGAAAGAATTTTAATGTTTACTTTTGTTTTTAATGAAAAATTTCTTATAAGCAAGCCTATCTATTATAAATATTGACATTGACTTTTTTTCTATTTACAGGGGAGATTTTTCTATACATGTGCATCAGCTCAGAATCATCAGTGCAAGGTAAAACAATTTCTAGTCAAAATTTTGACTGATTTCTACTTTTCAAAAAATCAAATCAAATCATTTTTTAAATATAATCGTCTAGTACAATAATTTGGAGAAAATGTTTCAATTACTGTGCCATGGCACATTGGAAACTTAAATTGGAGGCTTTCGAACATATTTCGATATGATATTACAACATATGAGAGAGTCCTTTAAAGGACCAAGTTGATAAATGGTCTAAAAACCTGATAATGGATCTAGAAGGAATAAAGAAAATACATTTTATGATCGATTTTAATAAATTTTTTACAACCTCGTTTCCTTAAATGAAATTTTCTAAAACCTTTTAAAGAATGCATGTTCCAATTTCTTCAGATATATTTTACATTTCTACAACCAACATCGTTGACTGAAAACCTCAGTCCCTCTAATACAGCAGACAAATCTTGATAAGTTCTTATTATAACTAATGTCATAGCAAAAGTTTGTGCCCAATTAGAAAATTAAAAACAAAATTTTACATACAAGATATTTATTGGTTAAGTACATAGTCCCCATTGTTTTTAACAACTGCCTCCCATCGTTCTATAATCCTGTTGATGCCATTTTCATAGAAACTTTGTGTTTTTGTTTATGAAGTAGTTTTTGACTGACTGTACAGAAACGGGAATAAATGAAAATCTGAAGAAGCAACATCAGGAAAAGACCATGGGTACTGGAAGGTTTCCCATTTCAACTCTTTAAGCTTCTGCAAGGGTTTGTTTTGCAATATGTGGTCTTGTGTTGCTGTGGTAGAAAATGACATGTTTTTGATTTGCCAATTGTATGTTTTTTTGAACCAAAGTCTCTTCAAATAGCAAAAAAGGTAGTATCATCTTTTTAGGAACATAAGTATAATCACAAAGTTTCTAATAAAAAATTTTCACTTAAAAGAATTGTTATTGTCAGGGCCGTCTTAACATCATTATGGTCCCCTGGGCAAAACAGTGTACTGGGACTCCTACGACAACCACTCACAAGAATAAAAAGTAAATTGTCGATAATATTAAACATAGATTTATTTTAGTGACACCTCAACAAAACTGGTGTTAAAGCATTAACAATATTCTGTACACCAGCAACTAATCAACATGATAAACATTTGAACAATACACAAGGCTTAAAAAACACAATAAAACTCAGTAAGCCACACAGATTAGATGACATAGTATGAAATTACTACAAACTTCTTATTATAAAAAGCATTTGCAACATTTCTTTTCAGATAATTGCTTTATTATTGGCTTGAAATCAATGATCTTCAAGAATAGAATGTCATTTTCTATGCACATGAGTGAAAGCCAGTTCAAATGATACTGCCCCATTGTGCTACAAAGCAGATTTTTTATAAGTTTCAGTCTTGAAAAAGAACATTCTTCTGTACAGTTGGTCACCATCATGCACATGAACACTCTGAGTCCAATTTCAACATTTGGGAATACAGATTTCAAATTGTCTGAAATTATTTTTCTGGTTTAGTACAGAGAGAGTCTCAGAATTTTCATCAAGAGCAATGCAGTTCTTGAGATGCTCACATTCATTTCAAAGGTCATCATAATTCTGGTCTTTGTGATATATATTAGCCAGTTGCTCACATTTTTTCTTTAGTGCATCAAGAAGCAATGGTTTTCAATTCACTGAAGAAAAAAAACAGATTTCTAATCTGTGAATAAACCTCTGCACGTTTTGTTAGATTAGAATGTCCAGAATAGGGAGGAAAGTTTCTATCTTGAATTTTTTGGTTTTACTGAGAAGTATCTTTTCTACTGATCCATCTTATCTATTAAGATTCACGCTTCATTTTTGTGCCTGTTTTTCCCATCATTGTAATTTGTATTTGGACAGTTTCCTGAAAACAGGTTTTCATAGACTCAAGAAGATTCATGGCAACAAGGATGTTCATATCCTTTAATTGCAGGATATTGCTTGTTTTATTCATTCTTTCTAGCATGTCATTCCAAAGAAAGAGATTGTTTCCAAGTTTTCCATTCTTTTGCTTAATTCTTCTGTCTCTCACTGTGTATTTACTTGCTGTTCATTATCAGCTGATAGTGAATCCAGTGCATGTTTTATTTTCTCAAAACTCTCATACAGAGCATGAACAGCATCAAAATGTGCTGATCATTGTGTGTCAGACAGACGTTTGACCATAAAATCTTTTCCTAGAGATGATGTCAATACATTCCAGTGATGAGTAGAAACAGGAAAAAATGAATACAGATGCTAAACAAAGTCAAAATTTTTTACAGTCTGTAGACAACACTGCTGCTTTTACTTCCACCAAGTTCAAGCTATGTCCAGCACAGGAGACAGAGATGGCAAACTCATTCAGTTGGTGAATCCGTGCATACAATCCAGTATATCATCCAGAAATATTCAGAGGCATTATCGTATGACTGACCACAGCAGTTTGATAGTGGAATTTTGTTCTCATTAAGAAAATCCACAACAGTGTCTGTTAGATCCTTTGCTCCATGAGAATAGATGGGAATGAACATCAAGAAACATTCCACAATCTCACAGCCTTCAATGACAGTAAATGTCAGTTGATCTGTGTGTGAAATGTCTGTGAATCAAATAATACTTTGACTCTTTTTCTTTTTCAAGAATAGTACTAAGAACCTGTTGTCTCATTAATTCAATAAATTCCTCACAAATATTTGCAGAAAATATGACAGATTTCCTTTTCCAGGATTTCCATACATTTTGAGATGTTCTTCCAAGAAAGTATCAAATTCACTCAGCAGCTCTAGTATACCAAAATAGTTTCCACTTTTTTCTGATCCAATAATCTGATTTTCTCCATGAAATGACAAACCTCTGGAGGCAAGGAAGTGAATTGCAGAAACCACATGTCAACATTTGATGCCAGTATCCCTTCTCTGAACAGTGTTGCTCAAGTAATAAAGAATCTACATTTCCAGTTTCTTTATGCCTTATCAAATATTCTGTCATGCACTTTCAATGTTCTTCTCCATTTTTATTTTCTACAATAACATTGCTATGCTTCTAGTTATTGAACCCTAGTGTAGCAAAAGGAGATTCTTTATTGGACAATAGGCAACAGACAATGCAGTACAAATGACCTTGGGATGGTGAATAGAGTAGCCATTCACATTTTACACACTTACCATTCTACAGTTCACATTTAAACATATTGTTTGATAAATACCTTGACTTCATATTCTTTACTTCAGAGACTGTTTTATACACTCTGTGTGAGTTTGAATGGTTTCTATCATGATTCCGACATGTTGAGGGCCCACTATGAATCCAGTAACCTATTGTGTTAGTATCATTAATGTTCCATAGCCCTAGATCTGTCTCTTGGATTGCAAACTCCTTCATTGTTAAAGATTTGGGTATTTCCTTTTGTAAAATGTCACCAGCAGCAGCAGCAGCAACAGGCAATGATGGGATGTCTGCTGAAACTGAATGATTGGTAGCAGGAATGAATGTAGATGTGGATGCTATATCTGTAGTAACAATACTAGTGACTGGCATTGCAGGAGTGGATACTAATGTGGATTGCTATATTTGAAGGAATAGTATGAGTTGTTGTTGTTGCAGCTGTGTTAAGCGATGATGTTAATTTTGGAAGTTTTCCCATTTTCTCCTTTTCCTCTGCAGCTTTCTTCTTCTGTGCTCCACTTAAAACATTATGTTTCATTTCTGCTGAAAGAGTTATTCACCTGGAAATATATATCTTAAATATTCAGTATTTAGTCCCACACCAGGATGTAAGGTTATATTATATAAGTGTACTTGCAACAAGACGTAAATATTTAAACATTTTGCTTCCATAATGAACATGTTTTTCCTTTAATTGTATAAACGGTATTTATTCTTATTACAAACCCTCTACTGTGTGCTAATTGACAAAACTGCCGGACAAGACCTAGATGTAGCATAATGGCATAGCTAGGGTGTCTGGCATTGATCTAGCCTCATTTATGTATAGGTCTACAAGACTACATTCAATACTTTTCTCGGTTTGCACAATTAAAAAGCTTATCCGCAAACTAATAATACCTGGTAATTAGTACTGCATCATAAATTCATAATCTTAAATAACCACTACATCTTTACTGTACAAGTGTTCAATGTTGCAAATGAATTTCAGGTTCAATCACTAATAATCTGTTCATAGCCCTATACCTGTATATGTATAAATACATCCGATAATCATGTCGTTGCTATTAATAGTACTACAGTAGGTCTAATGTTACCTCTGCTTTTTTCATATTTGCACTGATGTTTAAATCAAAATATGTAGCTAGTTGCAATAATTCTGATTTTTTTTAATAAGTGAATCTCTCCATCCAAACTGGATGAAGAAAGAAATTCCTCAACAGAAAACAACATTTTTAAACAAACACAAATACAAAGTCAGTTTTAACAAAAAAAATATCTGAAGAGAAATATAAATTACTTTCTTTGTTGTTGTTTTGAAATGAATATTAAATGAGTAAATTATTTGTTTTAGTTAAGACAACTGAATTTTTTTTTAAATAAACATCAAAGCTTAGAGCAACTCCTATTTTGTCACAGTTGAGACAAAAAGAAAAAAGAGAGAGAGAGAGAAGGTGAAAGCAAAGGTGAATAAAGAAATACTATAAGAACTAGAGTTTTATAACGATAAAAATAATTATTTAGAAAAGTAAAATTATAAATATATTACAATTAACCATTCAAAACAATATTGATTCAGTCTCGGGGAAATTTAAGAATTAAAACAAACTAGAGAAAAAATAAAAGATAATATTATCGTCAACAGAAAGTCAACAGTAGTCTTGGTCACAAATATTAAAAGATAGAAAGAGTTTTACTGGCAAGTCTGTGCTAGGACTGTTTGAAGAGAGATCATCAGGAATCAGAGTCAGTTCTTTGATCTTTTCCGTGATAGCAAAATTGTCTGCAAGTGAGCTGAACAGGCAAGGTAAACCAACCCTTCTGTTTATATAGGTGGAAGGCCTCTTTGAAGAAGTCCTCACTATTTCTGGTGTCTTCTCGGTCAAAAGGAGAATATTCTCCCACTTTCTTTTTTATTCAAGAACCAACTCAAATGAAACAAATCTTTCAATTATGACATATATCTTCACCAATCAAAATATTCATGGTTTGTTGTAGTAATTTCTATTTTTAATATCTTACTAAAAATGGGCTTCTGTAACACAAGTCACTTAATATACACAGATTAGCATGGAGCCCCTATGCTTGTGAGGTTCCTGGCAAGTGCCCATTGGGGTCCATACATTAAGACAGCTCTGGTTATTGTTACTACAAAATTTAATAAGTACAGCTGTATTGACACATATTTTTCTCACTGTCTTGTGCTTTTTTTTTTTCAAATTATGTTACAATCAGTTTGTTTATTATCTCAATGTATCTCAGAATTATTTTGAAAATATTGCATAGTCTCTAATCCATAATTTCTAATGTGTAAAACATCTAAACTTACTACCATAAAGTATTATTTAATGATTTTCTTTAAGAAAACATTGAATTGTTTTATTAACCTCCAAACCGCTGTATTTGTAGAGTCTAAATCCATCTTTTTTTTTAATTAATGCAATGTTTATTCTCATCTACAAAAATCTAGAAACAAAATTTTCTCGATTTTCTTTTCCTTGTGATTTTCTTTTCTATATTTTTCACTGTATTTATTTGAATTGAGAGTAGTCACTTGTCATGAATGAAATAAAATAGTGGTTCTATCTGTTAATTAAATGTAGGTATTATTTCAATGCATACTGTTGGGAATATCTATCATTAGGAAGTAAAATGAAAAGGAAGTTAGCTATTTGCAAATAAGATTTGTTATAAATACGTTTCATTTATTTATTGTAAAACGACAAAAGGTTAATCATCAGTGTTAAAATAAAATGTCAGAAGCCAAACAAATGTTTAAGATTGTGGAATTCTAAACTTGTATAATTTTATCCTCTTGTTATTTAAATGTTTTATTTGTTTGTACTATTTGCAGTTTTTGCAAACAACTTTCTAATTATTCATACTTTCATTTGGCATTGGCTGCCAGTTTTTTCAGTGGGCAGATCACTTTGATCAGAAGACACCCAGGACATCATCTTCACCACTAACTCCCTTAAGATTACACTCATCTAAATTGTGTGATGGAAACAGTATTAATATCTACCTTAGACATTGTCACATCATGTTTTATTGTGAATCTCTCTTTGTACGGCAGAGCCCTTGGGAGAAGAAAAACAGAAAATATCAAGTAGGTTCCCTTTAATTATAAACAGCATTTTTTTTTTATATTGAAATTTTTTACATATTTGGTTAATTACAATGGCAGAATAGGTTTCTTTGTCGTTTTTGTGGGCAAAATGTTTATTTTAATATGACATCAAATCATGCAAATCTAAAACATAAAGAATAAAATCAAACTCAAAATGTCTGCTTATCGGCAATCAATACTTGATCATCAAAAAAGCAGAAAGAGAGTTTGAGTTTATTAACATGTTAATCTTTATTGATCTTTATTGATATGATTTTAGAATTAATTTCATTTTCTATATGAAATGTAATAAGAAGAAAAACTTTAGAAATAAAAGATATTTTGTTTTACTGCATTTTTTCTATGCCTAAAAAATAAATCCATGTGTGCTTTGCTCTTTTAAGAAAAATTGATTTCAACCAAACTTTATATAGGATCAATGTTTTGATTAGGTTCTTGCATGATTGTCATCTTATAACAATGAAAGATAAAATGAAATATATATATATATATATATATATATATATATATATATTTTAGACACACTCAGTAGAATTATTGATCACAATCAAATAGTTCTTTACAGAGATGATGGATTATTTTATTTTTATCCCATATAGTAATGGTCCTCTATCTTCAGAAAAAGATTATAAGAGCTTTCCAATTACTGGGTTTTAAAATTGAAATCTCATCTAATCTTAAAATAGTTAATTTCTTAGATATCACTTTCAACCTCTCTAACAACACATTCAAACCATTTCATAAAAAAAATCAAACTCCCATTTATATTAATATTAAATGTCAACTTCAAGCACCCTAAGTTAATAATTAGTCAAATCCATAACACTAGAATTAATAAATTATCTTCTAACAGAAAAATCTTCAATGAGAATAAAATAACTTATAATGAAGCCCTCAAAAAAAGTAATTTCAGACAAGAATTAAGTTACCAGGAAACTTTGAAAAACAATTCAACTAATAAAACCAAAAACAGAAAAAGAAAGACAATATGGTTTAACCTACCTTTCTGTAAATTATCTAATATTAATATTGGCAGATATTTTTTAAATTTAATAGACAAACATTTCAATCATAACAACTCTTTAAAAAAAATTAATAGAAAAACTCTAAAAACCAGTTATTCCTGCACTAGTAATATACACAGCATCATTAACTCATGCAATAACCTTTTATTAAAACAATGTTATGACAGTGAAACACAAGAAAATAAGACTACTTGTAATTGTAAAACCAGAACTAACTGCCCTTCTAAAAATGTAGTATACGAAGCTACTGTTTTTCTGAAGGAAAATATCAGTCAAAAAAAGGTATACATAGGGATATTCACTGGGAGTTGGAAGCAGAGATTTTACAATCACCAGCATTCCTTCACCAATGCATTTTTAGGATATCAAACTGCTCTATCTAAACATTACTGAAATCTTAAAGATGAAGGCTTCACCTAACAAATCAAAGGGAGGATCATCTGTCAATCACAGACTCCCAACAACTTCAGGGACAGATGCAATCTATGCATAAAAGAAAAAATCATAATGATTATGTATAAAAATGCTAATGAATTATTGAATCAACAAAACAAACTTATTTTCAATTGTAGACTCAAACCCCGTTTTAAAATTCCCTAACAACATTAATTTTGGAGAATTTATACTTAAAGTGTTGGCTATATTTTATGGGTGCTAACATGCATATATGCATGCATTCAGGGTTTTGTTATATGATCATTTATGTGGTTTTCTTGCCTACATTGGTTGTAATCTTAAATTATGAATTGATTTTATTTTCTTTATCTATAATATCATTATTGTTATTATTACACACACACACACACACACACATTTATGTGTGTGTATATATTTATGTATGGATGTGTGTATGTATGTATATATATGTATATACATACATATATATATATGTATATATATATATATATATATATATATATATATATATCTTTGCATATTTTAGGTTTTTAGTTACTTAAAATGATCCTTTATCTCTTAATTAATTTAATTAATATTTTTGATGTGTATTTTTTATAAATTTTGCATTTTTAAAAAAAATTTCTTTTTGTATTACTTTAATTTTTTACTTTGTTCTTTCATTATATTGATGTCAAATATTATTAATATTAATATTTTTATTATAATTATTATTATTATTATCAATTTGTAATTGTGACAGTTATAAAGTGATGATGGTTTCACTGCTTAAAATGACTACACAACTTCAATGTATTTATTTTGAATATGATCACTCCCTTCCTGCACTCTGTTGTTTAATGTATCAAGTCCCCCACCACCACCACAGAAGAAAAAGTCTTTTCTAGATCACCCTGTCAACTATGCTTTATTCCCTCTATCCTTTCTTTCCCTCTCTCACTCACTTTCCCTCTCCCTTCCTCATGTCTATCTCTCTTTCTCTTTCCCCCAAAAAACCTTATATTGAAATCTTTACCTTTCTTCCCCTTTTTTCTTTCTCCCTTTTAATATTAAAACTTTTTCCTTTTTCTCTTTTCTCTTCTTTTTTTCTTCTTTTTTCCTTTTCTTTGAGTCTGAATAAATTGAACTCCATTTATTAATGTAAAATTGCTCTGAAGAGAGAGACGTGAGGTTCGCAAAATAAATTTATAACCTGACTTGATGGATTTTTAAGGATTCAGTATTCATCATTATATATTATATATATAGATATATATATGCACACACATTATTTTGGCATTGATACATCAAACCTGACCAGAAATCTATTGAAAGTGTCAATTTTTACTTGAAATATGTACATCCATCCATGAAAACTATTCAAGTGATAAAGAAATCTTTTTAAGGATAATTCCATGAATGAAATCCTGATAAAATTTTGGTATTGATACTTCAAATTTACCAGGAAGCTTTCAACAACAAGAACATTAAATAATGTTGGACATGTGTGTCTTGTAATCAAAGGAAATTGGGAAATGACAATTTCAGAATCAGAAGATCTGCAGATTCTACAAACTTCCTGGAATGTATTGACTCATTTTGAATATCTTCATTAGCTATTCTTAACATTGTAGCATTTTATTGTTTGGTAAAATCTTGCTTCACTATAGTCTGTCAATTCCTCTATTTGTCTCCATGTGATTTCTGGTTTTTCCCTTTGGGAAAAAAACAGAACTCACAATCTACAATGAAAGAAAGGATATTTCAGAGTGTGAACAAGATTAAGGAGAATACAACAAAACAGATGATGGCATTACCAAAAGTTTTGAAAAGTGCAAAGGATGCTGTAATAAGTGAGTGAGGTTTTAAGAAGAGTACTTTGAAGAGGACTACTCTGCCATTGTCCTAGGTAGACTACATTTTGATTAATATTTAATGGTACTTCAAACCAGTTTATAAAAGTAGCCACTTGAATCAACCCACAACAAAGAAAAAAGTAAGAAAGATTTTTCAATATAAAGATATAAAATATTTTGATTTTCATGTTTTTACATCTAAATATTTTGTAGCATGTATGAATATTAAAGTTCTTTAAGTCCTTTTTTGTAGCTATTTGTTAAGATGAAAAGAAATGTAATATCTTTGAGTGTATGTCTGAAAAAAGAGGTGATGAGGAAAGTGTAAACATCACATAGCATTGAAGCTGAGCACATTTGGTTATAAACTGTTGTTGTATGTTGCTGTCTCTATCTCTATACTGCTTTTGTCTATCTAGGGTCTTTGCTTAAATACTCTTCAAAGGGATCACAAAGCATGTTTTTTATTGTTGGCAGGAATTTGACTTGTTGGTTGTAAAATGTTAAATTTTCAAAGGATTAATTTATTAATTGGAAGGATGCACAGATCCTCTGATTCAGAAACCATTTTTTTATTTCTGTCTTCGCTCCACAAAGTAATCACTTGAGGACTTAGTAAAAGTAGTTCTGATAGGTCAGTTTGTACAAGTAATTCCTTCAAGACTGTCAAAGTAGGTACACCAGTTCACTTAGTAAAAGTAGGTAGTTCAGATCAATTTATAAAAGTAACCACTTCATGTTACTTAGTAAAAGTAATCATGCTTGGTCAGTAACGTTAATTATACCAGGTGAGTTAGTAAGAAAATTCAAAACAAAGGAATAAAACAAAAAACGTAGAAAAAAACAAAAAAAATAAAATAAGAAAAAAGAGAGAAGAAAGGCACACACGGGGTAAAGAGAGAGAGAGAGATTAATGAGGAAAAAAGGAGGTAATGAAAAAAGCCAAGAAAAAATTATAGTGAGATGAATAGAAGAGAAAGCAGAATCAAAATTGGTAAAACAAAAAGATAGAACAACATTTAGAAAAGAAAAAGGAAAGAAAGGCAGAATGAAAGAAATGATGAAGGAAAGAAAGAAATAAAGGATGAAAGAAAAAAAGAAAGAAAGCAAAGGAAAAGTAGCATATGGAAAAGTTGTAAGAAAAGAAAAAAGAAAAAATAGAAATATATATGTGCATTTATGCATGTATATGTTTCTTTGTTTGGATGTGTGTATGAATGAAATACTGAAAAGTTCTCAGCCCGACCAAGAAATATTACACTTGGAAAGCAGGGCAGGCCATGAACTTCCATCAGCCTCTCGTATATTCACCATGGGCAAACTATGGAATACAGTTTATATAAAAAATACAGGTACCAAAAATACAATAGAAAGCTATTTTCTCCTTGGTACATTTACACATATCTATCTATCTATCTATCTATCTATCTATCTATATATATATATATATATATATATATATATATATATATACACACTCCTCCAAAAGTATTAGACTAGTAGTCACTCGTGATAAGTTTCTAAGAGAGTCATTCCAGGTCAGTTAGTAAAAGTACTTACTCTAGATCAGTTAGTAAAAATACTTACTCCAGGTCAGTTCATAAAAATAATCCCTTCAAGTCAGTAATAGTAGTCTCTCCAAGTTAGTTAGTAAACAGTCTCTCCAGGTCTTTTAGTAAAATTAGTCCTACTTAGTAAGTTGATAAAAGTAGTCACTTGAGATCAGTTAGTAAAAATAATCATGTGTTCACTTAGAAAAGGTAGTCATTTCAAGTCAGTTGATAAATATTGTCACAGATCAATTAATAAAAATAATCACTTAAGATGATTTTGAAAATGTAGTCACTTCAAATCAATTAGTAAAAAACACATCACTCTATGTCAGTAAACAGTTTCTCCAAGTCTATTTCTAAAATTAGTCATACTTGATTATTTTATAAAGTAGTCACTTAGTAAAACTAGGTACTGATACTCTCTATTAGACTATTATAGAAACCATAAATTAGTTTTATTTGTAGTTGCTGTTGGAGGAAATCAGTCTGCTTCTTTTTGACATTTTGAATTTGAACTGCACAATTAAATTATTGTGTTTATTTGTACATTTTTGTGCAATTGGTTGAGGTTACCCAGATTTCTGCCCAAACTACTATTAATCTGTGTTCTGCCAAGGAGAAGAGGACATTTTTTTTTGTAGTGGAGCCAAAACAGACCCACTTACACATGGAGGTGAACTGATTCCAGAGGTAGTTTCTCAACTTGACTCTCACTGGAAACAGCAAAGAGTTCTCAACGTATTCATTTGCTTTAACAATTGCCAAAAATTAATTTAATTTCAAATTAATGCCTTAAGGAAAAGCATGAAGCTGAAAACATATATCTATCCAAACCTATACTAGAATTTAGATAAAATCTCTAATAGAAAAAAACAACTTATAATAATAATGACCTAGAAAGAAAAAGAATGTTATCACATTATGACCAAATGTCAAAAATACAAAAAATCTCAAGGGGTAGCAGTAAGGTCAAGAATAATGATGTCCTGGCTCTGATAGTTAAAGAAAAAAAAAAAGAATAATGAATTTTGTTTTGTGATTTTTGAGTGTTTGCACTTGTAGAAAGGATGGCAGCTGATACAAGTATTGACTGGCAAAAATAAATTAATGTAAGCCACTACATAGATGTCAAAATGCAATCTGTTTATATGAGCATTATACTTTCTATGCCTTTCTCTTAAACTTATTTTAAACTAATTACTGACTAAATAATAAAACTCATGAACCAACTTAACTAATTTCCAGCTTTGCTAACTCTATCAGTTCATACCTGAAAACTTTAAGTGGCACATGTAAATTCTAATGTTTTTAATCTGTTTTTTTCTTTTTTTTTTTTTCATTCTTCTACTTCATCTTGTTAAACTTGCAAAAGAATTGTTTTGGTTTTTTTTATAATCAGATGAGAAATAAAATAACACTGGATTATAATCAAAACAAATACTCTCTTAAAAAAAAAATAAAATCAGTAAAATACACATTGCTATTGGAATTAACACCAAATGATTTGTAAACAAACAAGAAGCCAACAGAGCACCAGAACCAGATGAGTATGAAGAAATTGAAATGAAGTCATTGATGCTGTGAAGAAAAGAAAAAGAAGGAAAGCATCAGGTGTAGATGTCCCTATAACCTTCAACATCCTCAGTGTTGGAATTGACAAGATATTAACAAATATGTTACTTAAAATCTTCAGTGTAGCATGGGATTAGGGGCACTTCTAGATTTCTCTAAAACAATTGTTTCTCAAATACACAAGAAAAGGAGACAAACTAGCCAGGGAAAATTAAGAAGTTTCCTGTGAAAATATTTCTTAGAATAGTAATGAACAAGATGGAAGACAGAGTCAGTACTAAGCTTAACGAAATACAATATGATTTTGACCCAGGTTGTGGAACATTTGATGCCATATTTATTGTTAAGCAAATCTTTGAGAATGCAAAAGAAAAGTAATTCTCTCTAGATTTCCATTACATTGATTCCAAATCAGCCTTTGCTATAGTCTGGGGAAATGCTGAAAATCATTGGTCAAAAGGGCTATCAAAATTCTCAAGCATATGTATAATGATAATGGATGTACTACTGTGATAGATAAAACCTTACACAATGGATTCATGTTGAGAGAGGAGTCAGACAATGTTGCATATTATCCCCAACATTCTTCAACATTTTCCTAGAATTTGTCATGTATGATCTCGCAAGCCTGCACTTGGATGAGAGCATTTCAACTAACATTAAACATCATGATGATACAACAATTGATTTCATAAATTTCTGCCAAACTGAAACTGTTTACAAAAAAAAAAAAATAGAAAATGTTGCAAGAAATAAGAACTGAAAGTAAACTCAACCAAATGCAAAGTAATGATAGAAATGATAGCACCATAAATAGATGAGGAAGCTATTGAAAATGTTGAAAACTTCATCTTCCTAAGAATAATTGTCCCAGCTACACCAGATGATATAAATCAAAGAATAACACCTACCTCAACTGTTTCTGGAAAAATCAAAAAAAGATCTGGAACAGAAAAGAGATTTCATTCTAGATCAAGACCCGGCTCTACTATGCTCTGATTATCCCCATAGCAGTTTATGCCTGTGAAATCTGCAACATGAGAAAAAAGGATATACAGTCTTCAAAAACAACTGCATCATGATTGAGAAAATATCAAACATAATCGGAATGACTGACATAAGGAAAAAAACTAGATGTGAAAACTGGCATAATTAATCCGATTAGGAAAAGGAAACTAAGCTGATTTAAACATGGAATCTGAAAAGGGAAACAAAGTTTCTATGTCCCTTAGAGCCTACAATTTCTTCAATGGTTAAAAAAAAATGCAGCATATGGTAGGCACCCTAAGAGATGGAAACCACAAATCAGAAAGGTCACTAGAATGCCATTTCTAACACTTGGAAGAATTTCTTTGGACAAGAAGAAACAACAAAGAGATGTCAACCAGCTGTACACAAGGATCACTTTAGGATTATGCAATTAATTGAAATTGATTTGTAAACGTAAACAATGCCTATTTCTTTTACAGAGTACAGTTTATTAGAGTGTTTATAACAGAATAATAGATAAAAAAAAATTTTTTATAAACATTTTCTGCACCTATATTATCATGTTGAAAAAATTGAAGCCTTTTTTTTGGCAAAATATTATTGTATTTTATTTTACAGTCATGAATACTTTTCATTTAAAGTTGTTTTTCTTTTCAGCAACAATTTGAGTGTAAAAAGCAGAAAGACCGACTCTACATCAGATTATCTTTCAAAGACTCTTCAGGATGTTACTCTAAAGGTAAAACTTTTTTCAATTATCAAAAGAAGTGAATATATAATAATTTATTCTGAATAATAATGAAAATATTATTACCAATACTGACTTTTACTCAACTGTAATAAGAATCTAAACTATCATGTACACACTTATAAAAAACGGGCCAAGTCATATTTTAAAAATAAAATCAATTTTCCGATAAAAAAAATCTTATATTCAGCTATATTTGATTATTTATAATTTCTAACATTAATTTAAAGTGTCATTTTTGTAATTCACTAAGAAACTGCCTTCAAACAAGTATCAAGTACCATGTTGACACAGCTCTTAAAAATCACTTGTAGGTCTTCACCAAGATGCATTAATCCCTAAAATGTCAAGAACTTGTGCCACTTTGTCCAGTGTTAAAAACACAAAGACTGTTTTTTCAAAGTGATCTTTTGCCTTGAAATCAGATTGAGTTGGTAACCTGAAAGGTGTCTTAGAAGATCTGGTGAAAAATATCATCCTGTGTATTTACTTTCGACTGGAAAACTATAAAGATTCCCAGAGATATGGAAGGGGGACTTCACAACCTTCTAAAAATAGAAGCACTCTTATGTCCTTCAGTTGTTAAAAATCTGACCAATCACACACCATAATTTAGGGGTTCTGTTCTTTCAACCTGTTCTCAATCTCTCTTCCTGCTAACATTTGAGAGTTCAACATTGGGTTATAGCTGTCTCCAGACATCAAGGAACAGAACTTAAACAACCACAAGATGCCATCTCAATGTTTGTTAACTGGACATTCTTCTTCAACAAGATAATTAATTCTGCAGATACACACCATATTTGCATCCCACTCTTTAACTTTCGTCTACTTTATTGCACGTCTTGTTACTTGTGGTACATATTTTGTCTGTTATAAACAATTTTTTGAATTACATTTTATCGTTGTTCTCTCCTTTAATCGTCCATTATTATCTGCCCTACACAAATCTTCATAAGACATATAATACTATTTTCTCAGCCAAGTGACTTTCATATGTATTTAAGTGTGAAAAGAACTTAAATGTTACAAAATATTAGGATATTCTGCATTCTTGATTGTTTCCTACTGTCCTGAGACTATCCTGATGGAAATGTTTTTCAGTGAGACACTGTCTCTTGTAATTCTGCTAGATCTACTAAAAATGGCTTTCAAATCAGCTTCTAGCCTGGCTAATCTCCAGATATGGACCAAGTTGAGAATCTTTGGAATTTTATATAATCAAAACAAACAGTTAGGAAGCTCTCTAAAAGCAATGGTCTGTCACAAAATGGGACAAAATTTTGGACCTGCTTGGTGATGATGGAATGTTACTAGCTTTCTTTTGGAGGCATTGAATTTTACAAGCCAATTTTTCCTCCCATTGAGCTGTTAAAACTAGATCAGTGGAGAGTTCAGCCAGATTCTAGTCATCTAGATTTTTGGAGGTGAACTTATAAACTGTGCTCTACATATATATATTTATTTATGATCTGAGAATGTGCTTAAGCAGATTGTTAATATAAAGCAGAAAGAGGGTTGGAACAAGGAGAGCACCTTGGTGAATACATACACTGATCTCATGGGCTTCAGAAAACTGGCTTTTGATATCTAAACGTTACTAAATTTTGGCATATAAAACATCATTCTTTTATGTTTTATAATGATCCTGTTTATGTATTTATAACATTACTGATGCATTCATTTTCAACTTATAAACAAAACATTAATAAAATCTGCCTGACCCATTTACTATTTTTATTTTTTGCAAAGGTGTGTATATGTAACATTTGAAACAGCTGTTTATTTGTCCTCACTTTAACAAAACATTTACTGAACAACCACAATTGATGTAAATAAGAAGTATTTTGTGTCAGTTAAAATCTGTTTTAAAATATTGAACAAACTTTTAATTATTTATAGAATTTAACTGATTTGTAAATTTTGTCACTTTAAAAAAAGCAATAGCCCAAACAATTTTATACTTTGTGAAATTGTTTAAGAAAGTGGTAATTACAAAAAATTTATCATATATCAACAGAATAAAATTATTCAACAGGTTTCATATAAAAAAAATAAAACAAAAGTTTTTCTGCTCCAAAGAACTCATTTGAATAATTCATGAGATAATGTCCTAAGCAAATTGGTTCAGTATGCTTTGAGCTTAATTACTCTCAGTAAAAAAACTTAATGATTTAGCCTGCCTCATTTAGATAGCAAGCTAATGTTATATTAAGCATTTGGTTGTGAGAGAAAGTAATAACGAGGATTAAATTTTCAAACAACATTTATTGTTAGTATATCTGGTGTCGTACAGATATTGCAAAATAGGTGGAATGTTCGTTTCTGGTGTATTGTCAGGATGGTGATCAGGGTTAAGAGAAAAACTGGGAGTTGACCTATTTTTTAAACTGACTTGGCTAAGGTCACAGGATATGTTCAGTGTATGTGTTGGTTGATCAAGTTCACGAAAATGGGTCGATCTCATTGGTTGGTAGGTCTGCTCTGTGGAATGGGGCCATGGTGATGACTGCAAGGGAACACTTTGTATATGTTGGTTATGCCGAGGTTTAGTGGTATGTTGCCAAGGTGTTGTCCTGAAGTGGTTAACAAAGCTACGAATCTGATTATGATGATACAAGTGTGCGAGCATAAGTATTCAGAAGTCAGAAAGGTTGGTGTCAAATTGGCATGGTTAGAAGGTCTATTCTATGGAACGAGGCCATGGTGACAACTGTAAAGAGAATGCCTTGTATTGTCGGATATGCTGAGGTGACAGCAATAGGTTGCCAATGTGATGAGGTTGGTATTGAATTGGTGTGGTTGGTAGGCCTGTTCTATGGAATGGGCTGTGGTGACAGCTGCAAAGTGAATGCTTTGCATGTGTTGGTTGATTGAGGTTACAGTGGTAGGTCGATTTCATTGGTTTGGTATTTGCTGAGGCAACATTGTCAACAACGATGAAGGCTTGTAGCTGAGTGCCATTAAAACTGGATGTATTAAGTTGGGTTTGCTGAGGTGATAGAATCAGCAACAATAAAAGCTTGTAGCTAGGTGGTGCTGAAGCTCAGATGTTATCATGTTGAAGCTGAATATCTGAGGTGGTTAGTCAAAGCTGGGAGTAGTAACGGTGGCATCGGCAGTAGCAGCACCCTATGTGTCAGCCGGTGACCTGCTGGCCCACATCTGTGGTTGCCAAAGTAACAAAGTCATGGTAGAAGCAGCAGTAGCACACTGCATGATAGTCAACTGTGGTTGTCAGGGTGACAAGGTCATGGCGGCAGCAGCACCCTGCATGGTGGCCTGGTGGGCTACAACTGACTTGGTTGTTCTCGAAGGCATCTCTTTTTCTGGCGGTAACATTCATGATTGGCCAGTGTCGCTTTCATTGCCAGAGCTTGCTTCATCGACCAGATGTGATGCATGGAGCCTATGCACAGAAAATGACTTTTTTATTTTTTTCTCCACCTTTATGGCATTTACATCCAACCACCATGCAGAATGAAACAGAAAGAGAACTAATTGCAATGGAGTATAACACTAACAATATTTTAATCAAAGAAATTAATCTCTTCTATCAGTTAGATATTTTTTGTTCTTTAATCCCAATGGAAATGTTTAAAACAGATTCATTTTTATTGTATATCTTGTATATTAACCAACTTAATATATTGAAGGAATTAAATTTTTCTTAAAATTTTGCTTCTTAACATTTACTATTGGGGAAGTTATGGCCTTTTATTTTTATTTGTAGATGATTTGTGGATTATATCAAAGAATTTGAATTTTGAGCCATCAGCTACATTCATTGCCAGAAGTGTATTCTATGGACCCAATTCAAATTCAGAAATTCAAATAGAACCTTTGGCTGGATATTTTCCTTCGAACTGGAATACTGATAGTGAGTATCAAAATAATGGAATGGCTTAATATTCATAGCAGCCAGTTGTAATTGCTAATAAATGAACTCTATTTAAAAGAGAGAACAAAAAAATCATTACTTACATTATTCAGAGTGTTATCCCTATCTTCATTGGTACAAAGCACATTGGTGAAGATAAGTTTTCCTTTTATCTTTATTCATATGTTACCATATATATATATATATATATATATATATATATATATATATATATGCCGTTTGTATATTTTGCAAATTGATTATTTATATTACAGTACATATCTGTGACAAACAGATCTGAACTTTCTAAACAATGATAGAAGCTAATGAAAAAAGTTTGATCAGATTAAGAACTCACTAGATGGAATATTCACTAGAAGAAGGTCAAAGAATGTCTTATCTGAAACATTGCATTCAGAATCACAGAGATGAGGATACCAGTCCAAATAATTCCCAGAATAATAGAGATTATCCAACTAAAATAAGGATTTTGATTTATATGCTCTTTAGTTTATTAAATACATAATATCATACCAGTAATTATTTTTAGTCATAAAATATATTAGTGCCTGAATTTCAGACACAGATTAGTTACCTCAAATAAATTGTTTATGAATATCATCTTCAAAACAATCTATTTTACACTGTCAAAGAGAAAATCCAGATTACGTTGTATACGAAAAAGAAAAAAATCAGAGTTACATGATTGTCTTGCTTGACACTTACTTTAACAAAGAGGAATTAAAAAAGTGTTTTCAGATACAGTCTGGTAAATTGAATTATGTTATTTGACATGTAAAAATAAATGATCCTGAAAAAGATAACAATTAGGCTCTTTTAGATATTTGAAATTATTTTAAACTTATTATGAAATGAAGAGTCTAAATGTTTATAAGATTGAATTATTATTAATGCTACAAAAATCAGTCAATAGTCATTAATAAGTTGATTTAATCATTTGTGATTAGTCAGTGGAAACAAGAAGTGCTTGTTGAAACCGTGTAATATGTATACACAGATAAGGAAAAACAATACTTAGGTTTTGCTGTTGTTTTGTGTTTCATGGGGATGTAACATTGATTAATATTAAAGCTGAACTTATGGTTTCCATGTTGTAAGCATCTCGATTTGTGACGTGGCTTCTCTCTGACTTTTCTACAAATATTTTCATGGAAACTGCTCTGATGAGCTTTTTTTCCTGGTGCCCCAAATGCATAAATTTTAAGCATGATACTAGATTGGTATCTACATCCCAACCTTTTACTGTTAAAATAGCTAAATGCAACTGCCACTTCTACTCCAACAGTTTCTTTTCTTGCACTTCCCACCTGTGAAACTCCCTTCCCTTTCTTCCCTGAAAACTACAATCTTCAAGAATTTAAATGCAATGTCAATCACCTTCTGTCTTCTTGAACCCTGTTCATCTTTTGTCCTTTCCTCAATCCATTCTCAGTCTTTTCTTTTACTTTCATCCCCCATAACCCCCTGCATACTAGTAACATTACAACCTTGCTTGGAGTGAAATGATTAAAAAAAAAAGAAAAAGTAAAGTGTGACTGTAACATTAACCAATGCTCACATGAAACTTCTGGTTGCAGACAGAAGTAAAATCTAAGTACTGTTTTTCCATATATATGTATTTATATATATAAATTTTTAAATTCTTATTTTTTATATTTTTAAACTTTTATTTAACTTACTTTATTTTTATTTTATTCTATTTTGATTTATTTCATTTGACTGATGTCAAATATTATTATTATTATTATTATTATTATCATCTATTTGTAATAGTGACTGTTATAATGCAATGATGATGGTTTTGTTGCCGAAAATGACTAGATAATCCAATGTATCCGCTTTGAATCTAATCACTTCCCTCCCCAACCCTGTTTTTTAACTTTTTGTTTTCATGGTTAGAATCTCTAAACTTTTGGTTAACACTGCATATATGAAGATTAATAAAGAGTTGTAAAGAATTTCAGAGTAACTTCATGTCATTGAAATCAGGAGGTTTGAAAAAAGCTTTTTTATTATATGACTAACATTAATCATATTTTATTTGCAATATTTTCTTGTTTTTGCATTTTATTTTTTTTATTTTTAGCTGTCTGCCATGCTATCTTGGCTGGTAATGTATCAACAGAGCTCAGTTGTTTGATGAATTTACAAGAACATGTGACTATTTCCTCTTCTCCAATTATATCATCCCTACTTCACAGGTATCCTTTTTCTGTTTTCATTGTTTTGTTTTTTTTAATTAACAAATGAACAAGTGATTCATTTTTGGGCTGCTACTTGAAAGCAAAAACACCAATGTTTGGATGTAGAAGGACAATTTTATAAATATTGTTTTTATGCACATTACTTATTTCGATTATTTCATTCCTTTATAGTTTTGCATTTCTTTTTATCTAGACAAAATATTCTCAATTTGTTTTAATATGTCTTTATATGATTGAATTTATCTCAATTCTTATAAAACCAAGCCCATTGTAGAATAAGCAAACATACAAATATAATATTCTGGTATATGAACATCTATGTAGGCAGTAATATTATCTTTTTTTAAGTGAAAACAGAGATAAAATAATTCCCAAATTCTTTCCTTGGTTTTGGGAATAAATTCTCTAAATTTTTCATTTTTTTGTCTGATTCTTGAAAAAATTTACTTTCTATTCATTGAATTAATTCACAGAATGTCTCTTCTGATCTTCTTGTATTGTTTATGATAATAACCAGAGTCATAAAATAGTTTTATAATGCTGAATGGCATCCTGGCCCCTGTGCTACATGACAATGCTGTCCCAAAATCAGTCGCCGGTATGTTGTGATTGAATCTTACGGCTAACAGTAAAGTTGGTCATTTTGATCTAAGCCCTGTCCCACGTTGTGTTTGTTTCGATCACAAGGCAGGCAAGAACCGAATCATCGCCAGATATTGCTGAATTGGTGTCGTTCAGGTGGGACAATGTTATAAGACAAAAAAAAGAAAGTTGTGCAAATCAACAAGGTTTATATAACTGAGGTTTAGCAAGAACACTTTTTCATATAAGAATCTACAAGCATGCAGGCTAATGACCATTCCCTCATAGTCTAATTTCATGACACTTTGTTCTTTGTTTCCAACTTGGAGTCAAGGTTTCAAACTTCAGACTTCTTCAAGCAACAAATTATGGAATTCAGACAAAGCATTCTTCTCCCTCTTTCTCTTTCTCTCTGTCATTACATCGAGACTTTCAATTCTTCCACTTTGCAAGTTCATCAGAGCACTCTGTTTAATTTATCTAATAGTCTGGAACAAGGCATGAGTCAGGAGTTCTCTGTGGCAGCCTATCACATGGGGATCAGCAAAGTAATTGCCTCCTCTGGGCACAATGGAAGCGCATCCCGGCCTCAACTGCTGCTCTCTCTGTCTGTCAGTCTGTCTCTCTTTCATTCCCCTCTGGTCTAAAGCTTTTATAGACCGTTGCCCAACATAGTCATAGGGTTCAATGCGATCTAAGGTTCCAGGATTTTCCAAATATTCAATCAGAACTCTCTGCTGACAGTACCCTGGGAAACAATTTGCATGTCCAAATATGAGGGGGGAGGCACCTGTAGGAATGGTGGTAGCAACACGTCTATCCATCATCTTGTTCTCCTCACTTCTCTTGCTTGCACCTCACACCAGTACCTTTCAGTGGAGTATTCATTTTCCTCCCACTTCCTCATATCAGCTCCTCATGCTGCCACCATCCAAGAATAGTTGTTTCACCCGACCCATGGATTCCTGACACAAAACAGATCTTACTTTTAACATCATCATAAAATTATTATCTGCATTTACTTTTTTGGTCTGTAACTCTTCCTCTTTTTTCCACTTTTTTCTTCCAGCCTGAGAAAATCTTTTTTCTTTAGCAACACGTGCATCTTCCACTCCTATCAACAAGTGACATAGAATCATTTCTTTACCTTTTTCTTTACCTACTTGTAGCCATAAAATTATTATCTGGTGATTTCTGTCCAAAATTTTCAATATGTCCTTCAATCTATCTACTGCCTTCTTCATACTCACAAAATGAGAAAACAAGATAGGATTATATTTTCTCTTTGTTTTCAGTATGTCCTTCAATCTATATGTTACTTGTTTGTCTTTGTGTTCACTTTCAATTTAAGCCTTTTTTTTACAGTGTCACAGTTTTAAAAAACACAAATTTATTCTAAAAGCTGAGATTTTATTTAATAGGAAAACATTTTGTAATTTTACTCTTCTGCTTTCATAAACAAAATAATAAACAATTTAAATATAATTTTATAATTAAACAAGAAATAATTAACTGCTCATTAAGAAAAATTAGAATTTTTTTCTTCTCCTTATTACTACTGCTACTACTACTACTACTTTTATTCAAAAATTCTTAATACAATTATGATCTTCATTTTAAGATTTTAAAAGATAACAATAGATATTGGCTCGAATATTATTATTGTTTATATCAGTCCCATTTTTAGACTAAAGACCACTACAAACTGAACAAAATCCAAATTACATAAATGCTTTTACTATAAAAAAAAAAGTGCTTTTTTTTTCAATCACAAAGCAGAACATTATAAAGAAACATTTTGTAACATTATGACTATTGAAGTCAAGGGGTGAAAGGATTTTAGATTTAATTTGACTAAACACATTGTATAAAATAACTATTCTTCTTAAATCTATTATACCACAATGACCAATATATAAAGTCAATAGAAAATTCTTATAGAAACTATTTTTGTATAAGGTCTGGAAGTAATAACTCATATAAAACCAATTCAGATTTTATTACCTTAAAGGAACAAATTAATTAAGATAATTTGAAGTACAGTGGATTGAAACATTTGACTGATACAAGTTCAGTGTTTAACTCATTTTTTTTTTATTTAGAGAGTTTTGAAATGAATCATTATTTTAATTCATTCAGCAAGCATTTTAATCTTCTAATTTATATTTCATTTTTTGGTTTGCCTTATAAGAAAATATATGACAACACAATGGACCCGGATGATGCCTGGATTTAAGACTCCATTTCAGTGTCAAAAATTACCAAAATATTCTAGTCATGAATTGGTGAGTTCCAACAATATTACAATTCAATCATTTTCAAGATAAGTTTAAGTTATTTAATTCAATAATACAATACAAAATCTTTCTCAGTCATTTTTACTAAGGTTATGACATTGTATTTTTTTCAAACGAGGAAATATATTTTAAATGATGTTTGATTCTGTTGGATTTTAAAATGATTAGTTGGTTTGAAAGCTTTCATTATTACAGACATGTACAAACAGAAAACATTTCATAAAGCATGTTTTTAAAATCTAAGTCAATTTTAATCAAATCATAATAAGGACAGAATTAAAGTCATTTAGGTATCCTAACATTTAGGAATAACTTTGATATTGTTACATATAAAATGTAACAAGTTTTTAATCAATGTTATTATGTTTAAAGTTAATTTATTATGAAAATATTGGGAAAATTGTCATCTTGCATGTGAGAATTTCCTGACAACATATCAGCCAAACTCAAGCTCCTTGATTATATTGAAAATGGAAATTGAGACCATTTTTTTTTCTTTTAAATTCTCCTTGTTACACATGTCCTTTTGAAGGACTTTACATGACCATAATTTTACATGACCTAAAGGACCTGTTTTAATTCATTACAGAGAACATTATAAAAGTTTATCAAAGTCTTCAAGAAGAAAAATCTATAATAATGTAAATTGAAATCTATAAACATAATCAGTTTAAACTTATTGTTCTTTTATTAATTTTATTTTTGTTATTTTTCTTTATTATTGTTACTTACTGTTATTTTGGTACTTATTGAATAAGGTTTACAAAAAGCAAACACTACAAGTAATGAATAACAGTTAAACTAAAAATTGGAAAATATATCATTTATAAGTTTTAATACCACAAGTCAGTCAGCCTCAATTATAAATAAGTCATTTCTATTCAACAGATTTTAGTATTTGATTAGTGTCGTTGAATTTTTAAATGCATCATTATAGAATATAGGCAAATATGGGACATTGTGCCTATTTATTTGAGTTTTTTTTTTTTTTTGTAAATCTTTTGGACATGATTTATTAATTTTTGTGCTAATTTAAACCTGAAATAATTCCTTTTTTATTATGACATAATTATTTATCTTCTTTATGCTTACTAACTCATCTTAAAATTCCTTTAAATAAAAATGGTCTATTTTTATTACAGGCCAGTTTAGCTGAAAAGTATGTGACATTTTGGAAGCTAAATTCTGGTCAGGCTAAAGCCTTGAAAAATGTTGCCTCATTGTTGGATTCTTGTGAGTCAGACAACTCACCTATAATCCTGATCCATGGTAAGGATGAAGATTTAAAAACAAACTTCTTTTAAATATACTTTTTCATAGGTGTAGCATAAGAATACAGATGTATAAATTTTATTTTTCTCTTATCCACATTTCAAGAATCAGTTTGTGGGAGAAAGAGAAACTTTTGTCTTAATCTTTTCTATTTACAGGAAATTTTAAATCAGGTTTTATAACATTAAAATATTCAAAGGAAAAAAGTAATACATTTTAAAATATTTCAGTATATCAACAGTTTCATGAAAAATAATTCTGAAAATGTTTACAAGTAAACTATTTATACACAGATAAAATGGACACTAATAATCATTTATATCTACAGCGTCCTTGTTAACCTAGGGTTGTTGATCTCTGAAAGTATTTTGTATTTGTATAAAAGTTGATCTTGTTTCAAAGGTATATTACACATTTTCAACTTTGAGCATCTCATTTTGCTGTTGTGGAAAAGTTAATTCTATTTATATATTTATTTAAAAAGAAATAACCTATCAGCACCTACAAACCAAAGTACAGAATTATTCGTGTGTTCGTCAGTAAAAACATAACTGACATAACAATAAAATAATGTCAGTATCACTTTTATAAAATTTGAAAGAATACTGTATTTACCGCAGATAGATTTTGTTTTCTGGAAGTGTACAAAATATTAACTGCTAAATTTCAAAATAATTTCTCTCATATATGAGTGTTAGGTTAGATTCAAGGGGGATAACATTTAAATTAAAAATATTGAGTTACTTCCCTTAGAATGTTTCTGTAATATTTGAAAACTATGACTAAAATGAATTTAAAAGCACAACAGTAAATAAATACTTTAACGGTATTTCCTACAATGTCATAAACACTATAAGTATACAGTAAGAGATTACCTCATTATTAATTCTGTAACTATCATCATACATTACTATCTTAAAACAATGCATAGCTTAGATAAAAGAGAAGTATTTTTTTTTTTTTTTTGCTTATCAAAAAATGTGTCAATTAAGAAGACTGTTGGTCCTTCCCATCAAGATTTCAGTAATATTTCATTAATATGCTCTGGGAGAGAGCATGACCGATGGTGCACAGAGAGATTTATATCCTATACCCATGCTACAGGGGAATGAGTTTGCCACAAGTGGCTAGTCACAAGCAAGCTGGCATGATGATCAGGAACACATTGTGAGGGCTACGTGCTGCAGCTGCTACTCACAGGCTCAGGACTGATTCCCTCCATTGTACTGCAGAGGCACTTCATAAACCCTCTCAGAAAATTATTTCTTGGTTTGTAATCTTTTTTTAGTGTATGGTTTATTGCATACAGTATAAATGACTTTTTGAAAACTGTCAGAATTAATTATTTTTTGCAACCATTTCTTGTATTATATATACTGAGTAAAATCTTGCCCTATGAGCAGGATTTTAAATTAGTTTATACAGTTGATCTAAATGAATCTTTTGGTATCAATAAGAGATCATGGATTTTAATTCTATATTCATTGAATTATACCTTATTTGAAAATCATAAACATGCTCTACTCTTGGATTACAGAGGGTATTTCACAATATATTTCTAGTATACATGCTTTTTAACAATCTAGATTCCTTTTTTAATGGATTTTATATTGCAGCAATACATGCAGATATAACACTGAACTGTTTTTTTGCGTGAAAAAAAGAGTCACTCGACTTGACCACATGATCAGAACTGAACTCTAAACATTGACAATTATCTGCAAGACTAATTTGTTAATTATTTTTCTTTTCTTCAGATATATATTCTCTATCTGTATGCACCATGTCCTTTCACAACATGAGCATTCATGGTTCTCCACAGCTTCAAATCTTGTGTTACTCTCAATTTGGAGTAGTCATCATTTATTAATCTTAGCTTAGTGTGACACAAAGTATCATATAAAAATATATACTAATACTTCCATATTTATGCAGCATAAAATTTTTAGCTCCACTTCAGCATGTGTAAAAGACTTTTTAAAACACTTTGGATCTCCAAACAGATTTTGATAAGGTTACATCACTTCAAATGAGAGAAAAACATAATATCTCTTATCAACCAAATGTCCCTCTATCTGTGGCAGAAACTATTCTGAACAATGTGGATGTAAGCATAAGTTGTCGAGGATCATCACCCAAAAACAAGGAGGCTGCCATAGCGGCTGTGACCAATGAATCAAAATGCTGCTTCTGTGGGTACAGTAAACACCTATGTGTCATATGATCTGCAAGGAATGCAGTTTGTAATGGAAGTGAAAAAAATGACATTTTTGTAGGGTTTGTCTTTTTGATAACTCAACAGAATGTATGGCTGTGACAAACTTATCTTTCCTTGCTACTACTACTCCAAAGTGTCTCTCCAAGGTTACCACTGACATAACTATCAATAGAATGTCAAGAAAATCTCTTATAGATACAGCAAGCTCTGAATATTACATTAGTGAAGATATTGTTCCAAGAAAGAAATTGAAAGTTCTTGTGTCTCAAAGTACTATCACTATGTCAACTGACAATCTCATCAATAAGATACTAAGGTATATGATAGATAAAAATGAATTACAATACTTACAAAGCTTTTCACAGATTTCTTTGGCATAACTTTTTGCATTATCACAAAAAGGTAAAAATCCCCTTTCATAGAGCTTGGGCTTCATTTTGCTGCAATTAAAGTACAAACACCTACTTTGTTTGGGAACTTGGCACCAGATTGCAAGCTATAGCAACAAAGGCCTGTTGATGTTCACCACAAGATAAGAAATTCATCTTCATCAAGTGAATGTTCCAAATCACTTTAGAGGGCCCAAGTAATCATAATCATGAACACCATAAAAAAACAATTATGAAAATAAGTTAGACAATAAATAAGTACACTTACATAGATGCATATCCCCAAAAGAGGGTCATTGAAATTGTTGAAAAAAATATCAAAATACCTAAATACAATACACTAGATCTGCAAAGTGCATATCATCAAATTCCCATCAATGAAAATAAGTCTTTCACTGCCTTTGAGCCATGTGGAAATCTTTATCAATTCTATTGGGTGACATTTGTTTTCAAAGAATCATAATAGACACTGAAAAACTCAGATACATTTGCTAACTTCAATAATATCACTGCATATAGTAAGAACAAGGATGAACACGAAAAGAATTTCAAAAAAGTTCCTCTAAGCTGCTAAGAAATATGGCATAACCTTCAATAATGATAAATGTATCCTTTTATTGGCTGATAACAGCCAATAAAAGGATACTTTTATCATTGCTTGGATTCGACAAATCAAACCTGACTGCAGAAAGATTGAAACCTCTAAAAGAATGGCACCTCTAGGCAACCTCAAATTGCAACATCGAGTTGTAGATATGTTCACCCATTAGTTGCAATGGGTTTCTATGTTTTTAAGGAAGATGTAGCTAATCATACATAATAAGACATTTCCACAACCAAAAGACATACTGTTTTATCTCATGAAAAAATTTGAGGATGCAGTTTTAGTGATTTTTTTTTTTTACCTCAAATGTCCCCTAGGTGTTGAGACTGAAGCATCTGATGTTGTTATTGGTGGTACTCTCAGTCAGAATAAGTGACCGATGGTTTTCTTTTCAAGAACACTTTCACCAAGTAAATAAACCCATTCCTCTATTAAAAAGGCCATTGTGGAGGTGTTGAAGAAATGAAGGCTATATTTATTGGGAAATCATTTAAAGTTAATTACAGATCAGAGATCTGTTACATTTATATTTAGCAATGAACATAAAGGAAAAGTGAAAAAAAAGTAAGCACTGAAAAGTAGAATTTTCCTAATTGAAATATGATATTTTGTACTGACCATGTAGAAGCAATACAGGAGCAGACAAGAATGTGGTATTGCTCCACAGCAACCCAATCTTTGGACTTGACTAAACTAAATCACAATCTATCTCCTCCAAGAGTGACTGGAATGGCACACTTCATGAGATTAAAGAATCTACCTTTCTCAACAGATGGCATTAAGAGGGTGGCTTTTTGGTGTAAAATGTACAGAAATAAATTCTAGATTCTACCAGGCTTCTCATGTAACACTAGTCAAGGTGACCAAACCCTTTAAAAGACTTAGTTTGACTTTAAAGTGCCTTCTAGTACAAAGAACAAATACCTATTGACTTTCACAAGTATTCTTATTTCCCTTTTGTATTCACCTGCCTTGACATGACATACCATTAAACATTTGTGTAAATATTTCACTCTGTTTGAAATGCCAGCATTTATGCACTCAAAAAAAAATTCATCCTTCATAACCGAAGAGCTTAAAGAATTTCTGCAGAGTAATGGAATTACCACAATTAGAACTACCCTAACTGAATGAGACTATATCAAAGGCTATCACATTGTCTTTTATGTAGATACATGAATATGGATGGGGCAATTTTTTAACCTTTGTCCATATGCATGCATATGGGCACCTCACATAAAAAAGAAAACCTTATGTCACATCCTGCCTTACTGGGGAAGTCAGGTAAATAATGCTTCTTGGCCTTTTGGCCAGAATGAAAGCATAGTATCTGTTCTCTCCTCATTTAAGATAGGAGAAATCTCCCAGTTCAGCGATTCCAACCCCGTGGCAACAGTTTCTTCATTGCACTAAGAGAGGTGAGATTAGTATAATATCAATGCTAGCATGACAGTAGTCACAAGAACTGGGTCATTTTTGTCCTTGGCCCATATGTATGGGGACTCCATATAAAAATAATTTTATGTCACATCCTAACTTAGTAGGGAGTTTATGTAAATAATACTTTATTGCTTCATAGTGATGTTCAAAGTGTAGTATCTGTTCTTATCAGCTTAATATCTAATAGGTCCCTTATTTAAAGACATTGATATTAAACTGATTTTTGAAAGTAAGCAAAGTTTTATGGACTACCTCTGACTTTGCTACAGGTTGGCCTGGTTTATAGCATTTCTAGGAATCAGCCCAGTAACTCACAACAGGGATATAAAAGTCAAATCCAAAGACTTTTTTTTATTTTTATCACCTTAATTTTTTCCATTTTTGCTATTGTTTGTTTGTGAATCTCCTATAGTGAATTCTTCTGCCTTCTCATTTGCATCTACTCCTGCTCTTCAAATATAATTTTCTTATTGACCTTTCTTTTTCACCAACTCCCGTAAGACTCATCCTAGTCTTTGCTTCTTTTATTTAATCTATAAAAGTCATATTTTTTTTGTAATGGACATGCCCTATCTTCCTGACAGAAGAGGCACAAAATTTCCTGTGCCATACATAGTGATGTAAATTACCTAGTGTCTTAGCTCAAATTAAATGCCTGTAGCTGGGCGTAAAAAAAATCTTCATAACTGACTGAGGCGGCACACATAAAAGCCAGCAGACTTTTCTTTGGTAGAAACAAGGATTACAGACAACGGGGAATCTGTTTGAATGAGCCAGCTGTGAGGTTCAAGAACAAAGATGTGGCAGTGAGAAATGTGAAACAGATTAATAGATATATTACTACACATTTATAATTTTTTCTACTTTAATTTTTATAATTTTACTATGTAATGTACTGTATATTATGTTTCTTTTTTCTGTCTGTAACATTTTGCTTTATCAGTTAACTTCTTTACACTGATGACTCTAGATTAGAAACATTGACAACATACAAAGAAAACTGCTTTTCATAATGTCGCAGAAAGAAACTTGAGAAAAACATAAATGTTAATAAACAAGAAAAGTTAATTGACCAGCAATTTGATACATGCTCTTCTGTTTAACTGTTATCTATGATATCAGTTTGAACTGATTCCAATTCCATTTCCAGCAATCTAAAAAGGACAGAATTTAGTGAAATACATTTTGCTTACCAGACTCACAACACATGTTCTTGACAATGAATGTGATAGTTAAAAGTACTTAAATATAACAGAAAGAGCATGAATTTTGGACAATTTATAACTTCAAACCTGATGTACAATGCCTCATTTGGGAATTGGAAAGATATAATAAAAAGTTGAATAAACAGAACTTGCCTGTGGAATTTAATAAAACTTTTTTTTGCATAGCTTAAAAGCCACCCTATCAGGCAGCATTTTAGCTAACTCCTGCAGAGGGCTCTTAATTGGGTCCTTTGGCTTGTTTAAGAGTTTGAGTGTTCCTATATCTTTGCATATTCTCAGCATTAGAGGCTCTTCTGGATGCTGTTTGATCTGGGTTTTCATTTGCACAGGCCTTTCTTTTCCTTGCTGCAGCTTTAGCTCTTTTGATTGCAATCTGATCCTCTGTTGGTGAAGATTTCTTTTTGTAAGGCATACTGCTGCCATATGTGATAGGCAACAATAAATTACAATGTCCTGATTTCAAAATGGCTATGTTGATATGTTGGCTATGGTCTCTAGGAGTAAAATTGAAAAAGTTTGACACACTGACATTCACATTTCTTTATATAGAAGAAGATGAGATTTTTGAAAGTTAGAGAGATGTGTCCTTTTATTGAAAAGTGTGACACAGAAACAGATATGATAAAATAAAGAACAAATAGGAAACATATATCAATCTAACGTTTCACTTTTATTAAAGCTTCCTCAAAGAAAACAGATAAAAAGAAAGACAAATATAGACAATTCTGAATACACCTCACCATTCGATGACCACTTAAACATACAAGAATCTTCACAAACTTACATACACATAGAATTATCTATGGTTAAATGCACATGACACATGTCTGACCAATGAGAACTGACCCAAACATAATTGAAAATACCAGTGTTTCTGTCTTTTTGTCTGTTTTCTCTCACTCTCTGATGAAGCTTTAATAAAAGTGAAACATGAGATTGATATATGTTTCCTATTTGTTCTTTATTTTATCATCCTGTTGTATCATCACTTTTGATCTGAATTTGATATTTAACTCTCTTTCTCTCTCACTATATATATATATATCCTCTTGTCTGATTCACTCTCCTCCACAACCTTTTGTAGAGGTTTATCCCTTGTTTCCTGTTTAGGATTGGGTTTCTGGTCCCTTTAAAAGTCTACTTCAACTCTATATTTCTAATGGCTTGACCTAAAACACTGAACTTATTATTTACTACTTATTTACTTTTTATCCTCAATAGGATTAGGTAGGTTCACTTATTGCCCATTTCATAACTTCCCCAGTCTTTTAAACATGAATAGAGGTTTATTCCTTGTTTCCTGTTTAGGATTGGTTTTCTGTTTCCTTCTAAAATCTTTTCCTTGTCTTCACTTCCAGTGACCCCTTATGTCTTGGTAACATTATCATCTTGCATAGGGTGATGCCTCTTACTCTGGAACCCTCCACCTTGAGTTACTCTTGGACCTTATATAGACCTTATATAGAGTGAGCATCACTGTAACATATGTGTGTATGTGTTAAGTAATGGCATAAAACAAAAATAGATACCTAAAGAGGTTGATTTTTTTTTATTTTTCTTTCAGGTGTATTTGGATCTGGCAAAAGTTACCTCCTAGCAATCATTGTACTGTATTTATTGGATGTTATTGAGGTTCACCAAGCAATGAAATCAGCAGCTTACAGTATAAAGGATGAAAAGATTTTGATATCTTCCACTACAAATGTTGCTGTGGACAGGATCCTGCTCTAGTAGGGATACTTCAATGTTTTCTTCTTTCAAATAATTGTGGATGTAGGTAAACACAATAAAAAAAAAAGAAGCAAATTTAGCAAAACTTTCATCATGCCATACTTTGTAAAACCCTCATGGATTTTGATTATCACTTAAGATATCTATTTCAATAGCATGATACTTATTTTGGAAGTAAAAGTAATAACTCCCTTTTTTCTTTTTATAAAAAGATCAAGTCTTTTACAAACGTTAGTAAGTCTGTTTCATTTGTAGAAATATTTCACCAAACAAAAGCATTTATACTATAGGTAAAAAGTTTGGGGTCACCCCCTGGATTTAATAATTACTAATTTCCATAACTTCTTTGTTTTAATTAATCCATACTAAGCAAGAATACTTAAACTATTTTACCCATTATTGCATGGTATCCAATTTGTAGAGAGGGGATGACCTAAAATTTGAAATTTGCCCACCCTAACATTACCATTAGCCAGTAAGGTAAATTTGGCAAAAAGTGCTGAAGTTTTGAGGAAATGTTGTGAAATAATAGATTAATTTCATTATTATTGAATATATTATAAAATCCTTCTGGAAGAGAAAGCCCCATCTGGCCTGAAGGAAACTAGTAAATGAATTTTTAAAAAAAAGCACACAACTAAAATCCAGAAGGTGGTTCTAGTGTATGTTGCACTTATGGCCTCTTTGATTAGTGAGGTAACTGTATTTTCCACTGATACCAAGGTTTTGAATGCAAAATGCCAAGGCTGGGAAGCACACCCTTCTTAGATTTGTGCAACACAATCTACATCTGTTTATCCATTTGGCCTTGTGTCAGACTAATCTAAGCTCAGTACATATGAAGTATGTTGTTATTTATAAAGTAATTGTTATTAAGATTAACATGATTACAAAAAAATCAATGTTGTATTTAGCTAAAAATGAGCACAATGGCTTTTTACTTTAAGTCTATAAATAATCATTTAATTGATTAGAATATACTTTAAAGAGAAATGGGAGATGCAGGCTTATTACACACATATGTGTGTGTGTGTGTGTGTGTGTATAGTTATTTAACACAAATATATTTTAAGTATATTTTGATTGTCAGTATTTTATGTACAGCCTTAAGGTGTTCTAATTAAAATTAGTAAGGATAATTTTAGAAATCATTCTTTTCTTATTTTGGTAGACAAAGAAAAATATTTGTGATCCGAAAGGCAAAAGAAAATGGTAAACAGATGCGTCTCTCTCTCTCTCTCTCTCTCTCTCTCTCTCTCTATATATATATATATATATATATATATATATATATATATATGGTAATAGAATTACAACATATCACACATATAGTGCAGGTGTTAACAAAGCATGCTCAATGTAATGAAACAGGGCAAAAATATATATATTAATAAATATGCATATTATCTCACACCCCTAACACAACTGAGTTTCATGCACAATGCAATCTTTGGGTGCAGAATTCAAATAAATAAATAAATAAATATATATATATATATATATATATATATATACACACACAGTGGGGTTGAATAAGTGATCGTACACATGAAAATAATTCATATTTTTATTTGTAACATATTAAATTAACAAAACAAGAATATATCTACTTTATCAGATTGCATACTAAAAATGTATGCATATAAAACTAAATAATATTCCATGGTTAAGAAAATATAGCAATATTTAAATTTTAGGGGTTTAAAAAATGATCGTACAGCAAAACAAAAACGTTTTCTCCATTTATATTTTGTAGCAAAGCCTTTATTAAGTTCACCAGCAACCAATCTCTTTCTGTAGTTTTTAATTAATGATTCACATACTTTAGTAGGTATTTTGTTCCATTCTTCCTGAGTAATTGTCTTCAGGTTTTTGATGTTTGTTGGACTGGATCTTATTTTTCCAAAATTGCCATAAATTCTCTATTGGATTCAAATCCAGCGACTGACTGTGCCATTGTAAGATGTTAACATTGTTATTAGCAAACCAATTCTTCGTACTCTTAGCAGTATGCTTGGGTTCATTGTCCTGCTGGAAGATCCAATCAGGAGGAAGCCCAAGATTCTCTACAGAAAGTGATAAATTTTTGCTTAAGATTTGTTGATATTTTTCTGCATTCATTCTACCATCTATAATTGCTAGTTTGCCAACACCTCGCATTGAAAAGCAGCCCCAAGCCATGATACTAACCCCACCAAATTTGACAGTTGGTATGGGTGCGTATGCTTCACCGACTTTCCTCCATACATGATTCAGGGAATTACAACCAAACAACTCAATTTTATTCTCATCTGTCCAAAGAACTCTTTCCCAATAAGAATTTTTCCTTATCTTTATGCTCTGTCGCAAATTTCAACCTGGCATCTCTATGCCGTTTCAGAAGGAGTGGTGTCATTCATGGGGAGCGCCACTTTATACCATCTCTGCATAGTTCATTACTAATCGTTTGCTTAACTTTAACTCCTGACAAACTCAGATTATTCTGAAGGTCTTGTCTGATGGCCATTGGGTTATTTTGGACCTGTTGCATCAACTTTCTTCGTAATCTGGGAGAGATCTTCCTGGTAGCACCGGGTCTGCCTTTATTCCCAACAGTATCATGTCTTTTAAATCTTGCAATAAATGAACCAATAGTTGAAAAAGGTATGTTCATGTCACGAAGATGTTTCTGTAACTTTTTCCATTGTTCCATAGCTTAATAATTAGCTCTTTTTGAGCACAAGTCATTTACTTACATCTAGCCATTATTAGAACCATTATCAGTGAACAGTGACTGCAGAATGATCCAATTTTGAACTGAATGTTGCAATAGAGTTACTGAGAATATTCTAGAACAGTTCAGAATCTTCTACTTTGAAGTACAACCAAAATCTACTGCATTATAATGCAAAAACCGATACTGTATGAACACTTTTTCCACTATTCGAAAGATAAAAATTTGCATAACTATCTCTTATCGATGAATTTCTAATTTTAAATTACAGATTCTGATTCTATTTCCCAAAATAAATATATAACATTGTTATTCGAGGTTTTCATTCACTATAAGTGAGAATAACAAGCATTTGCTTGCTGTATGATCACTTATTCAACCCCACTATATATATATATATATATATATATATATATATATATATATATATATATATATATAAGATAACAAATAGGAAATGTATATCAATCTAACATGTTTCACTCACTTTTATTAAAGCTTCATCAGAGATTGAGAGAAAACAAACAAAAAGATAGAAACTTTGGTATTTTCAATTTTGTTTGGATCAATTCTCATTGGTCAGTCATGTATCACGTGAATGAAAACCATAGATAATTCTATATGTATGTAAATTTGTAAAGATTTTTGTATGTCTAAACGGGCATCAAATAGTAATGTGTATTCATAATTGTGTATGTGTGTCTGTCTAGTAGGGGGAGTTCTAATGTCTTCACCTTTGTGTGATCTGCCAGTGCAGTGGGGTGGAATTTCACTCAGATCTGGGACCAATGTTTTTAAGCATGTCCTATTAGATAAATATGATTTAAATTCTTTAAGAATGGATTCAAAGGAAGATGGCAATGTAATGTAATGTTTTAGGTTCATGTTTATAGTTGGTAATAATTTTATTATTAAATTTTCAAAGTATTTACTCCTTAAAAAATTATGTTCTTTTTTAATTAGTGTGGCATTAGTGAAATCAAAGTTATAACCATCATTGTTTCTATATAATATGAGAAAGTTAGATCATTTGTATAAATACAATGAACTTCTTTACAGTTTGGTAATATTTGCTAATCATTTTTGCAGTTTCTATCTTTGTTTTATCTTTTGCAATTTCTGTAGTTAGTAACCATTTTTCTTTCTCTGTCAAATCAGTCTTACCACCCTTTCTAAATTTTCAAATTCTCAACATGGCTATTAATTTGAAATTTCAAAATTCAGGACATTTCATACAAATATCTCCCATTTGTTTACATCTGTGCAGGACTATCTGGCTCTTATCCTAACTGCACAGATAGATGTTGCCATCATTCAACAAATAAATCTTTAGATTCCAATATGTATTTTATATTTGGATAAAACATAAAGTGGTTAATAATGTGAGACTCAGTGTATGCGTCTATTAATTAGATGACAATGATAGTCTTTCAGTGATGATGATTGCTTGTTGTTTATTTTAGTTTATTGGAATTTGGCTGCAGTGAATTTATTCGTGTTGGCAGTGTAAAGAAAATTGCAAAACCCATCTTGCCATTCAGGTAATCATTGATATTATTTTCCCTTTTTTATTCATTATCTATGACATTTCCTATTATTTATCTTTTGATTAAAAATTAATCTATACATGTATCTGTACATCTTTGTATTGGCATCATACTCTTCTACATTTTATACTTAGTCACATTAACCACTTGAAAGCAGAAACTCTTGTTCTGGATAGACTCTGATGAACAATCTCTATATTTTTCATGCTACAATTTCAAATAATTTGCTGTTTTTTATAGTGTTCATGCTACAAGTACTGACAACCATAATTTGAAAGAACTACAGGAAATGCTGAAAGAAGAAAATCTCTCCAAAATAGAGAAACAGTAAGTTTAGACTTTTTTTTATTTCACACTAGCAATAAAGTGGCATGCATATCTACTGAAGAGCTGTCTATACCACACTATATGTTCTCAACAAAATGATACAAATAAAACAATATATAAAACAGATTGAAATTTTATTGAAAAAAAAATTCCATAAAGTGGGAATAAAAGAATAAAGGTTTGGTTGATGAAAAGGTATGACTTTTGTTAACAGCAGAGTTTGAGTGTCTATGTTTCAGAAATAAAAAAAAAAGTTCAGCTTGCGTGACCAGCTGTAGAGAAGTGATTTTCATTAGGGTTGATGATCCTACATATTAGGTAAAGGAAAAAAGATTTTTTTAAAAGCATGCTTTCAAAGGTGCAAGTAAGCTACTGCTGCTACCAGACTGCTGGCTACTGTTATTACATATCTTTTTTTACCATTAATCATCTCTGTTGAGTCATAAACACACTACAGAAGTAAATTTCAAAAAGCATTGCAAAGACATTTTTAAAAGTATTACACACATATATATATATATATATATATATATATATATATATATATATATATATATATAATAGCTCTATTCTGACAATAATGCTTGCATTAATTGCTAACCACTGATAATCCCTTTTCTCCATGATTTTCAACACATTTCTTTTATAAAATCTTTGAATGTACATTTAAATTATATATTGTAATAGTCTGTATTTCATCCTAAATACTAAAAACAAATTACTTTTTAATTGTCAAAGTTCTATGTACAGGTTTAGTTTTGAAAAATATTCAAACAAATTTTAGGTCTAGAATTGCAAAAATCATCAAAATCACCAAATTCCTCTAATGTTACTATAGTGATTTTCCTTTATTCATAGTCTTGTGGACACCTTTCTTGCACCAAAACAATCATTCCCCAAGAGTTGAATATTATAAATTTTTCTGTGAAGGGACCCAAAATGTGCCCTTTCTACTTTCCAGTAAAAGATAGGTAGCTATTAAATGATCTGAATTATTAATTAATTTTATATTTGTTATAGCTGCTAACATTCTTCAATGGCAATTTTCATATCTGCTTCTTTTCTGTGCCTTCAATATTTACAGTGATGCTACATATATAATTATGAAAATGAATAAAAGTTTTGTATTTAATAAATCCTGTCAATGATATCACTGGTTACATAAACATCTAATAATAGTATTCAAATTTAATTTAACACTCAGCCACATTAAAGGCAAGAGAAGCAAAGGGTAATAGCAAGTAACCTACTTAATGAGTTTCACTGAATAGAAGCTAGAACAAAGAACACAAAGACAAAAGTTTTAGTAAAGGAGCAAGAGTTACTTAGAGCAACAAAAAATAGGAAGTGGTGGAGAATCAGGATCGCTGACATTCTGAAAGGACATAGCATATGAAAGAAAGAGTTTCAAGCTGGAAATTAGCAAATCCTTAAATATAGGTACTTCCACAGAAATGAAATACCTAAGATTTAAAATGAATTTTTAAAAATCAAAAATCTTCCTTGAAGTTTTTATTTTAGTTTTAATTTCAATCTACTAGATTAAATTTAATATTTTCAATTAGCAAAATACTTTGCTTTATTTCAAAACTAATTTAAATTTACTGGAAGGAGTTTTCATTTTAAAATTGCCAAACATTGCTGATTTTAGCACCATTTTTAGTCATCTATCATCACAATGTAATTCTCTTTATTAAAAAATCATTCAAAAGTAAAATATACTTTTCTGAAACTTTGAGGAATATTAGCTGATTTAAAGTTTAATTTGATTTTAAGCAAACTTTACTTAAAGTTTAAAATATTGCAGAAATGCTTTTTTTGTACACAATGGTAGCTACTTAAAATGTTGACTGCTTGACTAACAGACAGAAGTTTATCTAATTTTTTTCTATAGTGGATATATCTGTAAAAATTACTTGAGAAATATAACTTGAGCACATTTTTTATATAATTTTTAACTGTCCAGTAATCTTAAAAATTTATGAAAATATTCTCCATAATCTAATGTTTTATTGAATTTTAGGTATTTTGGCTTTTAATTTTCTATAGTTATTGCTCTTATTTTCTGATAATATCATGTATGGATGTTTATACACAAAAAAAAATTTGTAATTTTTTTTTTAATTTTGTGGAGGTTGATGAATCATAGTAAGCTTTTCCATTTATGATTAGTAAATATGTTTTATATTTAAAAACAATATCAGCTAGCCACTGCAAATTAATACAGAATTTTAAAACTTTAAATTATTCTAATTAAAATTTTTGAAAAATGAAAACAATTTTTGCAAAAATTCATTATTCATTGAAAAAAAAATTTTCTTATAAAACAGTGTCCATAATATACGTTATTCATAAAAGCAATTAAAAGCTTTTAATATAATGTCTTAGTCTTATTGCATTTTTTATTTTTCAGTAACTGGTGGTCCTGTTTTGCAAAAAAATATTAATGATTTAAATTCTCCAAAGAGTTCTGCATATAACTAATATAAACATTAAGCATCACAATATTTAATTTCTTGAAATTTCATAAAATTAAATAAGTGGTAGGCACAAATATAAAAAAAGAAGTTTATGCCAAGATTTTCTAAAAAAGAAACATTTCTAAAATAATTTCGTTCATTTGTGAATAAGTCCTGAAAGTTTCATTAAAATCCAACAATTATTGGATTTTTGCAAGAATTTTGAAAATAGTGTGTTTTTCGCCACAAAAACAAATGCTAAAATTTCCTATATTAATCTTATGTGTACTTTACAGAACTTGTATGTGAGCCTTAAAAAGGTGCATGCAAAGCATTTATAAATCACTTGTTAGCAACTGTCAGGGAGAGACGCTGGATGAATAACTACAATTACTAAAGCATCTCAGTAGAGATTGTAATAAACAGGGCTGTCAGTGCTGAAAAAGTGAAGAGACTATATTTTTATAAGTGGCCTAATACCATCTGTCATTAGCTGCTTGAGAATAAAACACTTAATCTTGCAATTGCCTTTGATCAAGTAAAAGTTCTGGAACTGGTTCTAAAGAGTTCAAAATTAGAGTGCATCACACAAAATCTTTAGTGCAGCAGCAGCAGCTTCTAGTGATGATGCAGAAAAATCACTATATCATGGCTTTTCTGATGCTTATAGGGGTTCTTGGTGAGACTAAGATAGTTCCTCTCTTTTTCCGAGCACCCTATTAGCTACTAACCAATATTTAGTTTTAAAGATTGGCTCTTGGGCATGGCATTCTATACAGATATAGAACGCCATGCTCTTGGGTCAGAAATGTTTCTTCTTGTTTGGAGATTACATTGCACACATATCCAGGATTTAATACTACACATATAGTATTGACTTCATTGAACCCTAAGACATTCTAGCTATTGTTTGATGAATGTATTGCTAAGGGGATGTCATTGCCAGAATGTGAGATTGTCTGTTTTATCAGCTGTTTCTGTTGATGTTATAATTGAACAGAAATTTATGAAACAACATCAGATCATCTGTGGAAATTTCAGTGTTGAGAAATGTCTATTATATTTTTCTATTTCTCTTTGACTTTTGCTAATTTTATCAATTCATGTTGGGCAACTGTCACTATTTAAAGGAAATATTGCTCATCAGATAAACACTAACTGCTAATTACACTAAGAACATTAGAACACTCTTTTCAGACAAGTTAATGTCCACAAACTAAGATGATTGAAAAGGCATTCAAATGCTTGAAGGCTGAGATAGAAAAGCCCATGAGAAATTATATTAATTAAACAATTCCTTTTATTATAGAGACAGAAGCATCTGATCACACTATCATTGCCAATTTAAATTAAGCTGATAAATCAGTGGCTTACTTTTAAAGTTTATTAAATACTAATGAGCAAAATCACTTGATAATAGAAAAGAGGTATATGTTATAGTCAAAGTCCTATACAAATATAGACAATACTTAACTCGATGCCACTTTACTCTTCTTACTGATCAGAAATCAGTGGTCATCATGTCTGATTTTAAGCCGACTATTAAAATGATGACTATTAATAATAACATTCAGAAATGAAGAATTGGGCTTATTTGCCTATCACAGTTTTGATATAAAGTACTACTATTGGATAATATTACTGTAGATGCTTTGACTAGGGTATACTCTTCTGCTGTTGGTTTTGATGTGGTACTTAAATTGCATAACTCTCTTTGTCATCCAGGTGTTACATGGATGTTATACTTTATGAGATCAAGGAATTTACCATTCTCTGTTGAGGATTTTAAAAAGTTTCAATCTTGTACCTGATTTGTGCTGAGTGCAAACCATATTTTCATTGACTTGCTGTATCATATTTGATCAGTGTAATAGCACCATTTGAGAAACTCAATGTTGATTTTAAAGTCCCTATGTCATCAACTTCATCTAACCATTAATTACTATAACAGACAAGTTGTCTTGCTTTCCTTTTGCCTGTTTAAATATAATGTCTCAAACTGATTCAGTGCACCATCAAATTATTTGCTATCTTTGCCATGACTATATTCATATATTCACGGGAGTACTTCATTCATATCATTGAATGTGAGAAACTTTTACATAACCATGGAATTTATAGCCAGACCACACTTTATATTTCCCAAAGTATGGTATGAGGGAATTATATGTTAGGCAGTAACTCTACACTCAAATTTCAATACTTGTCTATGATTCATTCATCAGTAGTGCCATATTCCATTTGCCTCAAGTCTTTTCTTCATTTGTGATAAAATCTTTTGCTATATAAGGGCTTGGATAGATTTTATTGGTCCAACACTCTTTTCTTTCTATAATTGTTTGAATCATCAGAAGGATATAGAATACTAAGTTCAGCACAGAAGTGGGCCAACACCAAAGAAGTTTGTTGGTAGACTGTATATAGGTATACAAATATTAAAGAACAAATTAATAATTATTTTTGCATGTGTGAATGGCAGACATTTTTGGAATGCTGGACAAAATAAAGAAAGAAAACCCTGAAAGAAAGTACTAATAATTGTTTTCTTTTAGTTAGAGGTTTGTTTGTTCACAGATTTAATTCAAGGACTTATCCTCTTCTCATCTGTATTCTATCTTAGAAGACTTCTTTCAACCTTGTTTTGTTTTTTCTTATAATAACAATGTGTGAAAATTTGATCATCATCATATTATATGTTTTCATGTATTGCAGTCTTTAGTGCCTACTTCAGTTAATACTTATTTTAACTATTCTGTAATTTTGTCCATGTGAGTTGGTCATTTCATTGTATCTCAAATAGGATGATAGATAAAAACTCACATTGACACAATCTAGTAAGTGTTAAATCCACAATTGTATAAACATATACAATTTGTATATTTACTGTACCTATTAGGAATTGAAGGTTTTGTGTTTAGGTTGGTTGATTTTACAACATGTCAATCTTTATTGGATTATTTACTATCAAATTTAATTGATGTACCTGTAAACAATACCTTACCTTAATATCAAATTTTTGTATGGAGTACCCAATGAGAATCAAACTCACTACTTAGTAGTAATGGTCAACCAAAATAGTGAGAGTTAAATAATATCAATTCACAGCAGGTACACAAGTTAATAGGATTTATAATATAATACATTGTGGTTACCAGATAATAACTCTCCCATTTGTATTTTCCCCATTATGGGCACTATTATATCTGTAATATAATAACACTTTATTTCATGGATTGAACGAAATAACTGAAAGGAATGACAAACATGCTTTATTCTCAGAGAGAATACAAAATTATATATGAATATTTACATTTACAAGTGTGAAAAGAGAATGAAAAGATAGTCTTAAAGGGATGATTGGAGCTACTGGAGATTCTTCTATGTTCCTGGAGAAGCCATATTTAGGATTCCAGATTTGAGTGGGACAGATTTATCTCCTATGTTGCTAGAGAGGACATATTCCACAAGGATACAATGAGTCATGGAGTTTTTTCCAAATTGACTGCAAGCCAGAGATAATTTCTATATCTGGTGGCGATATATTTCCATAAGAAAATAGCACCATTGGCTTGTAAGCTGCTCCAGGTGGCAACTGGTTGCCCTGGGCAGAAGCCCAAGTGAGGCAATTGCTCAGTTTAATTCCTGGAAACTGACTGAAGGACTCACCATTGTTGTCACTATGAAGTGCTGTCACTAAACAGCTGTCACATGACCCATGTCACTTCATTTTGACCAAAAAGAGATAATAGCCTTTTGTGTCCCTACAATAGCTTTGCTAAGCCTTATCCCATACCAACACACTTTTAGGAATTCAATGCTTCACTGTAACTATGGTAATTTTTAAAACATTGTGAAGAGGGTACTTTAAAATTCTTGGCCTATCCTACTTCCTACCATGATTAGAATAGCAAAAGATGCTTTCCAAAAGGAGTTCAAAAAGTGGAGTAGAGAACAGGACTTTAGCTGATTGAAACACCACCGGTCATCCAGTAGGAAGAATGTTGATCTTCTAGTTTGATCTTACTTTTCCCCTTTTGGTGCCTGCTTATATGGGGATGTAAACCCCAGTTGCACTGCTCTGATTGGCTATGTCCAATGGTCTTGTGTCATAGGCATTGAAGGGGAGGAAGAAAAGCCCCTACAAGACCAATATAATTGGTGATCCAATCAAAATAATGGCCTTGTGTCATACATATCAAATGAGTGATGAGTAGCTCCATCCCAGCCTTTCTCTCATTGGTGGGCCAATCAAAATTTTCCATGTTCTGGAATCTCCCACTTATTTGACCTGATTATCACAGGTGTCACACTTATTTGACCTGTTTATCACAGGTGTCATCAGTCACCTCCATCTAACAGTGTGTCATATCCCTGATTCAAACAAACCTAACTTTTAATTATTTACTTTGTGTCCCTTATTTCAATTTTATCAAATGAAAGCAATATTCTAGTACAATTTCGACAGATTTAAGTTTGTGCCTAAGGACCAATCTTACCTAAGTTTACAATTTCACTTTATTACACTATACTCCAAAAGTGATACAAACCTGAAAATTCATTAGAATCATTTTTTTCAACATAAAAATTATTTTTCCTTCCTTAGAAGTAAAAAAATTAGTATGCCAGTCAACCTTTGACACCAGTCATTGTATCATAGATACTAGTTAAATATTTTGTGGAATAATGAAAACTTCAAGTGGAATCTAATCTATAAATGGTAATTTGTATTTGTTTCATCTTATCTATAGGTTAAAATCACAAAAACTAGGATATTTTTCATAAAATTCTTTCTAAGATACTTAATTAAAAATAAGGTGTGTTTTCTTTTGCAAGGGTGGATAAGTTGAGCAATTCAAGGAGTTGAAATAATGGTTGAAAGTTACCCTGCTTTGAAAAGCTTATGTTACAAGAGTGGGGTAAAAAAAGCTGATCTGTAAAAAGTAACCTGATAACTACTACTATACAGCAGTCACCCTGCCCTATACAAAATATATACAGAACTCTTATAATTCAAATACCTTTCTTCTTATATTCATTAACAGAACAGAAATAGTTATTTCTTTTTTGATCTTATGTAGTGCCCTGCTAATGCAATCAAGTACTCTTTCTTTCCAACTTTAGACATTTTTGTTATTTTTACTAGCAAATTTTCAAATCTTATGCAAAAACATGGATTCAGATTAGAGCTGACAACATTTAAAATATGTAGGAAGAAGACTTTAATAAATTATTTGGAGAAAGGCAAGCAAAATAGCATTAAACAATCTTCATTAAAAAAAACAAGGCAATATAAGAAGTGAATATTTGACATATTTATATAGATATAACAATAATCTGCTATATAATAGATAAATTGATTTATCGATTATTGAACATTCTTCTTATAGTGTTCTTCTAAAGCATATAACCATAATAGTATAGTAAAAACCTACATGAAACCATTGGGATTGGTTTTATTTATAAACTTATATTTTATTCCAATACTTTGTCATACTAGAGAATTTATCAAAAATTATCTTGAAGATTCTCTAATGCACAAAATAATCTTAATTTCTCTTCTTTTGCAGATATGTAAGAAAATCAATTGAAATGCACAAACTGGGCATAAATAAAAAGGTAATGATCATGACTGGATAGATGGCTGTGTGGTTAGAGCATCAGCATTCTGATTATGAGATTCAGGTTCAAATCCCACCATAGCTGATTTCCTAGAGAAGTGATTTCTTGAAAATATTAGCCTGGAGAGATAATACCAGCATGTGGAAACTTTGGGTAGTTTTTTTTTTTTTTTTGCTTAATCATTTCACCCCCAAGCAAGTTGATAAAAGCCACTAAAATGCAAATTGTTACTGATAGTGAAAGAAATAGAGAGGACAATAAAAGTACAGGATTCAAAGAGAGAAAGAAGGTGACAATTGACATTGCATTTACATTTTTGAAAATCATAGTTGACAGGGAAGCAGAAAGCCAGAAGAAAGTTCCACAAGTGAGAAGTGCAGAAGAAAAAACTATTAGTATAGAAATTACGGTTAAAAGCATCAACCTCAACAGTGAAACTGTAAGACCTAGCTGCCAATCTAGTACTGCACTTAAATTCATGAAGTTGAAGTACCAAAGAGGAAAATTAATCCAAACAATTACTGCAAAAATATTTACAGAAAAAATATAGAAACTATGCTACAGTGGTGAAAAAGTGATTAAAGCAAAGATACTAGATCAAGACCGATAATGTTACAGATTGTTCTTTGGATTTTGTCAAGAATCTCTAGATATATAACTGAAGCAACAGATCAGATGTAGCAGAACTGTTTAATGCACAGAAAAATGGTAGATTCATAAATTTGCAAGATAGTTTCTATTGAGAAAAATTATCTTGCATGATATAGCAGCAGACTTAGCAATTGTTTCAATACAATTATTTCACTTCATGTCAGTGGAAAACATTGGACCAAAAAAGTGCAGTGACTTACTCTCCTGGAGGTTAGCATCAACCATGCTGATGGAAATCAAAAAAAGGTTCTTTAAGATGATTAATAGATATGTTTCATTTTGAAGGTAATAACATTTACAAGCCACTTCTTGCTCCAGTTAACAACAGAATGAAAGTCATTTTCAAGATCACCTATCAATTTGATTTTATTAAACCTGTCAGACTTACTAATAAGACAGAAGTAAATATGTCATCAGCATGGATACTGAGCCAGGAACTGATAACATCAGGAAGTTTGTTAATGAAAATAAGAAACAAAATAGGCCCAAGAATAGAGCTCTGTGGGGACACCTTCATTAATACAAAAAGTGACCATTAAGAACAACTTTCATTATACAGTTTCATAAAAAACATTGAATCAAATCAATGAAATTGTGGGAAGCACCTAACCCTTTAACTTGTGAAGAAGAAGGCCAGCATGTCAAACACTTTCAAAAATATCTAAAGCAACAGCCTGAGCTTTGCTATTCTTATCTGAAGCTTGACAGACACTTTCAGCAATTAACTGTCAACACATTGGCAGTTGACCTAGAGAAGTGGAAGCCATATTGCTTATCTGAAAAGTTTATCTCTGGGGTGAGATGCATAACCAATTCAGAGTTGCCTTTAGTACTTTTCCAAAAAGAAATAGAAGACTAATAAGTCAATAGTTTGAAGGATCAGCTGGTTTGCCAGAGTTCTTAAAAATAAGAACTCCAGAAGATGTATTTCCAACAATTTTGAAAGCATGAAACGGCAAGACATCTATTGTAGAGCGTGAAGAGAATAAGTCTCAGTTGAGGGACACATTTCTTAAAGACAATTGCAGAAATACCATGAAGTCCACATGCCTTGTGAGAATCAAGTTTGAAGATAATAGCAGAAACCATGGATGGAATTATGTGTATCAGACAGTAGAGACTCAGTTTTAAGTGGAAAGTCAGGTAAAAGTACTCCTAATGAATAAAGAGTAGAAATGGAAGAGAATTTATGAGCAAAGCATTCCGCTTTATTGGCAGATGATAGCACTTCAATTTGATTGAAGAGAAGATTTACCCTTATTTAACACACTGTTACAGAGCTGCCAGTAGTCAAAACAACCAAACTTGTGAGAGACTATACAGTGCCTCATGCTAGTGCTTGAAAACTATATCATGAGTTAGGTAAATAGGACTGTTAGAAAGTTGTTGATCGTTGTGCTAGCACATATCACATGTCATTGTGACCATGGGCTTGAGTATACTGACATTGTTCAAACTAAAGATCAAATAAGATTATGTTGTCTCTATCCCAGAATCTATAACTAAGGTCCACATAACATAGTTGTATTATCAACCCTAAGTTAATATTGGAGGTGTTGAACAAACACAAATATGTCTCAGCAGACATCTGTATAAAGCTTTTATATATATATATATATATATATATATATATAGTGTGTGTGTGTGTGTTATGGTATTTAAAATTTGCTATATTTATGGGTGAAGAGTGTTCAATATTGAAAAAGAGGATTTGTAGATATAGACAATGTAGATATAGAAATCAAAACTCTTTGGTGACTGTCATGTGGTTTTCAGAACAAATGTCACTACTCCTACTATATATACTAATAAAGCCAGAGATTATTTGCTTGGTTTCATGCATTTTATGGGTGACCAACCACTTGGACTCTAGGAACTAAAGTTATACTATAAGAAAAACTTATGTTAAAGATAAACATTGGATCAATGGCACTGACCTGTAATGTTACCATAAGTCAATTTAGGGCAAAACTGCTATTTCTAGTGAAATGAGAAATATAATGATTTTATGATGAAATACTAAAATTTTTTCCAAGTCCACAAATGATGGGGGCAGGTGATATTAGTTCTGACTGCTGAGATCATTGAATGATGCATGAAAATATGACAGAGATTTTAGTGGTATAGAACTTTCTAGAAGTGGGTACAGAATTTTATAGCTGGAAGTTCCCTTTCTATCTTATATAAGAAATATGATATTTTCTAGAGAATAACAAACTATCCGAAACATTCTCTGAGCTTTTGTATTAAACTAGAAATGCAATTTTCTAGGTGAACTGAAACTTTCTAGAAGCATACCTAATATTCCATATTACATTAAAATATATTTTTCAATAAAATTTTTCTGTGCCAAGCTCAAGCTTCTACCTTCCCAACAGCAGATTATGTCTGGTATTGGGAAATGAGATAATAGTGTGTTCATTCTAAGAATCCTTATAATTCTAACTAACCTTTCTTTTGACTTCAGGTGCCTACAATTTTAAATGAAACCAAGCTTTGCAATTACAAAAAGTTTCAGGGCCAGCCTGAACTTAAATTCATGCCATTGTGCTTTTTGAAGTCAGCTTTATGTGGATTTTTTAAGAATAGGATCTCCAACTAAACTTATTCATTGCTTCCCCAGAAGGAAAGATGACTAATGTTGTTTATCCAGAAGCATTATCAACATAAAACCTCTTCTTTTTGCAATTTGTCAGAATACTGTTTAGTTTCTTTTCTTTTGTTTTACAGCATATCAAACCTCAATGGGTTATTTAATGCTGACAAAATTTTTATTGCTGGTAATGTGTTTTTCTTCAAAAATCTATTCCTGGTAATATTTTTCCTTGAAGAAATCTATAACTGGTCATATTTTTTTCAAAGAATGTATAACTGTATTGCTGGTATTTTTTTTTTTTAAGTATTGCTGATGATAATTTTTCCTTCAAAAATTATTGCTGGTAATAATTTTTTTAATTACAAAGTATTTCTGGTATTAAAACCTATTTTTACACAAGTTTGGATGTTAACTATTTGCCCAATAGCTGGGACCCTAACAGGTGCTACCACCCCAGGTCAGTGTGGACCAGGGAACACCAGCAATTAAGAGGTGGTTCCACGTTCCTCAAAACCTCCTGATCAGAGGCCTTTCTGTTGGACATAGTTTATCGTCTTACCCAGGACACAGATGTCGTTTATCGTCATACCCAGGACAACAGAATACTGTTTGCTATATTAATCCATTTATTAAAGATATGTTAGAGTTTACTCAATAAACTTTGAGTCTTCATTACTTTTTCCTTCAACCAATACTGGTTACCTCATCTAGTATTTAAATACTTCCCAGAATTTTGTATGTGGATTTTTCATCAGAGTTATCTAGTCCTTGTAAAATTGGTGAGTTTAACTATTCTTTACCAGGTACACTGTCTTGGAGGACTTACATAAAACAGTTGATTAAATAGAATAAGCCTAATTGACTAAAATACTGATGCAATATTATAATAATATTTTGAAAAGTATACCTCAGGTGTTATTGAACAATTGGATCACCATAATTGAACTATTGTTACTACTTTTATCTCTTGTTAATTGTAATTAAGTTGAATGTAATTGTTTATAGAAGCCAGATCTAGGACAATAATAGGCAAGGTTATCTTATTTAAGTTATTAGCTGTTATTCTTAGGTTTTTCTTAAATTCATTCTTCACAATCATCAGCATTGTATGTTTGTTTATCAATTCCATTTAGTTAACTGTTTTATTTGAGTTCACCATCAGGACTGTGTACCTGGTAAAACCAAACTAATTGATGTAACACAACCTATACTAAGTTACACTTAGTGAATATTAGAAATAAAAAAATTAAAGAAAGCTGTTTGTATATGTCTTTTCATCAATTTATAAAAAATGTAAAAGAAAATTTACTTCAGCTTCTTAGTTTTACTTTTTATCCTTCCAGAAATTACATGCTGTCAAAGTCGTTGGTGTGACTTGTGCTTCCTGTTCATTCACCTGTCTGGAAAAAATGAATTTTCCTGTGAGTTCTAAGTGTTTTTTCCCTTAACTTTTTCTAAGTTTTTCTTTAGACAGAATTATTGCATATAATAATATAATCCATCTATTAAAATAAAATTATTTCCTTGAAATAAGTTTTTTAAATTTCTGTTAAAAATAAAGAGAAAATGTAAAATCTGTAATGGCAGCCTTACCAAGAAAAAAAGTGGAAATGACAAAACAACAATTGGAGATAAGACATGGTTGAGATAAGTAAAAGGGGTTTTATTTCTTTAAGATTTGCAAAGTTCGATCTTTTACTCATTCCAGAGTATCATACAGGGTGTGATGGGTAAATTGTTGCCATTTTATATTTTTAATTTCACACATATGTGTTGTTTGTTTTTGATTTCATTAACTGCACAGTATAGTAGGGTCAGTTGGGCACCACCTGTGAGAAAAAGAGCACCATGACACAATTCACTCCCCTAGAAATTTGGAAACAGTATGCTGTACTGCTTGGCATTTGTACCAGGAGCTTCAATATGAACATTTCAAAGTGTGTGGATGTCAATCTGAATACAGTGCAGACAATTTGGAAAGAGTTGGTTGAGTCTAATGGTAATTACGAAGGTATAGCAGCTTGGAAAACTCATTCTGAACGTTCTGATAAGAAAAGAACTCCTGAATTTGTTGGTGTGGGCCTCAGACTCAACACAGAGGCCTACATCGTGCCTTGAGGAGGTAGTGCTGCCCTGGGTCAAGATGGTGGCTGCTGGAAGACCCTATGTTTGGCAACAGGACTCGGCACCATGCCACACAAGCAAGAGAATCCAGTTATGTTTGTTAGACAATTTCTGAAAACACATCACCCCTTACATCTAGCCACTTAACTCCTCAAACTGCAACCCCCTTGATTATAATGTGTGAGGCAGGTGAACAAGAGACCAAAAAAACTCCTGGTAACACCAAAGATCAACTGAATGCAAGGATTATGCAGCATTCACCAACTTAAACAAGGAGACCATCCAGAAGAGTAACAGTTGCAGGAGATTTTGAAGTCATCTGGAAGCCATGGTTGAAGCCAATGTCAATTTTATTGAATAAATTTATTCTTTAGTATTTCAAGATATTTTTGTCTAATTTTGGTAAATATAACTATTAAAATGAGTTGTCAGTGTTATTTTCATTTTTGTGTAATTTAGATGACATTTTATCCATCGCACCCTGTATAAAAGCCGTGGGAGACTGAGAGATCATTTGGAGTAGAACACAAGATAGTAGTCGAAATACACACATAGAGAAAATCAACACACATATGTAGTTGAGTGAGATAGACTTGTGGGAGCAATTGGTAGTTAGTCTCTGCTGCAGCTTTTGTTGCTGATCAAAGGCAATACTGTTGGTGGAAGCGCCTTGGTGTTGCTATTGATGGTCTGGTTAAGCTTGCCTGCCATTTGGTCCTTTGCTGGTCAGATCTGCCCTCATGTGTGAAATTGGTGTTGGCTTTAAAGTCAGTCTGTGGCTCAGAAACAGCTGCTATGAAAGATGAAAAAAACCCTAATAAAACTCATAAATACTACATAAATACTAATATATGCCCCAGTGATCCCAGTAAAAAAAAATAATTATATACTAATTATATACTATACTAAATTTTATACAACCAACTTAATCATCCGCAATAAATATTTTCCATCAACTAATGTTTTGCAAAAGACCAACATTGTATATCAATATAAATGTCCTTTGGGTGATTGTATCTCTGACAAAAAAGTAAATATATATGTTGGTTTCATGACAACAACATTATTGAGGAGACTTACATTACATATATTGGATTAAAGCTCTATTGCACAACGTTTAAAGGAACATTCCTGTCCACATTCACGATTTAGAGAAATATTAATTGACAATACAAGTATACTCCACCATGAAAATAAAAAACAAAAATTTTAAATTCTTGAAGTCCTCTGTATAAGAAAAATACAACCAATACTAAATAAGACTGATTATGAGTATAGTAACAATGTTTCAAAATGTCTATAACAGCAAGGTTTTAAAGTACCTAACTTATAACTTTTTAAAAATTACAATGATAACAACAATCTTTCAAAATACTTAAATTGTATTTTTTTTTACAAATATAAATTAAGTTACCTCTGTTAGGTAACATTAATTTATGAATAAACAGAACACATTTCATCTGCATTTGCAAAAAAATTCACAACTATCAATTACATTAATTTTTTGTCTTAGTAATTCACCCTTGAAGATGATCTTGGATGAGATTGAAAGTACTTGGGAAAATAAAAGAATTGAAAAAAACTATGGCACCTTCCTTAATGAGTTTAATAACAACATTAAGAACTGATCCATGAATCTGAGAGGATTAAAATTAAAATAAATAGACATAATATGTCGAGATTATTCAACCAAACATATATAACATTTTGATCTATATGAGACTGTAAAGACTAATTGTTAAATTTTATTTTTGTTTTTTTCAATATGCATAAGCACATACAACTGCATTGAACTCTATATTCATCTGGATTATGTAGATTTTTATCAAAAACACACTCAAATACACTCTCCAGTTAGGTTCTTATCTATTATTTGGACCTCATCCCAAAGAAGTTGTTTTTCTTTTATTGAGCTGAGAATTTTAATTCAATCAAACCCAGATAAGATTATTCGTCCAACTCATAAGAACTAGTCTTCATTATGTTAAAGCTTTAAAACTACCCAGTATTTTTAACAAAATTTTACCCAGACACTCCTGCAGAATGTTAAACATTTCTTCTATTACAAAAAAATAAAGAACTTTTGTTTTTATTAATCTCTGCTTCCAAAACAACTTTGCTACACTGTAAAAGAAGAAACTACAATGACTAATTAATTGTTGTAGATTGCTCTCCTTGATGAATGTAGTCAGATGACAGAACCAGCATCTTTACTACCATTGGCAAGATTTGGCTGTGAAAAGCTACTGCTTGTTGGAGATCCAATGGTTTGTATTAATTTTTTATAATTTCTTTGAAAATATTTTGCATTTTTTATATTTGTGACATTTTAGAGTAGTTTTAGTGACCAAGAACTAAAAATCAGACATGTCTGGTCAATCAAATACCAGAAATTATGAATCCAACATAGTTTAGCAGGTAAGGTCTAATGGAGATGTTATATAGGGTGGTTTAAAATTTTAATTACCATATTATAAAAAAAATTAATTACTTGAAAACTTCAAGATATTTTTCAAGTGCATGCATGCAACAGGGTCTTTGGGGGACCAATGTACTGCAGCTATGGCAATATGTTTGCCTAAGGCAATGTAACAATGAATCCTATCTTTCATAATTTTGACTCATAAAATTTGGAAGTTGTTACTTAAGTTTATAGTCCACAAATAAGTTATCTTTACCAAATAAAAAGTCATCCTTCCAACTCCACTTCCATCAGGTTCAATTTGAACTGATATGACCCATTAAAGAAGATATTTTTTGTATAAAACATCAACTTGAATATGCACTATGTATTTTGCATGAAGCTACTTTCTTTTTTTTTAAATTTCTAATGAAACTTTAACAGTTTATAAATCATGCATAAACCTATGTTAATATAAGTTAAAATGACTTCATGAATTTAGGTATAGTACGAGATTGGCAGATAGGTCTCATCATTTTGCTGTTGAAATTGCTAGATGTAACTGTAAGTTCTATTCTAATAGTTTCTTCTCTCACATTTTCTACTTATGGAACTATCTTCCAGAATTTTACTTTCCTGTCAACTAAAATCTATAAAAATTTAAATGCCACATCAATGACCATCTTCTGTCTTCTTGGATCCTATTCTTTTATTGTCCTTTCTCTTCAATAACATTTTTCTCAGTTTCCTTCACTCTATTGTTTTTGCCTTTCACTCTTAGTAATCCCTTGCATCTTAGTGGTTTTATCACCTTGCTTAGGGTGAAATTATGGGAAAAAGTGATATAGCCTCGACATACCTTAGTTGCTAATAAGTAAATAGTATTTAAATATTTTTTTTTAATTTTATTGTAGATAACTAACATTCACGTAAATGGGAATTTATTTAGACTGAGTCAAATCAAATGCAAAATCATATTTTTATTATAACCAGTTTAAACTGAATTCACAGTTAACAGCTTGCAAAGCCAGAATGTGCTCAATGTAAAACCAAATAGGCAACTTAAGTCAGTTCTGTTAAGTCACAATTTTGAAAATTTTCTATTCCTTGTACAAAAATAGAATTTTTGTAATTCCTGTTTTTGAAGATCTATCTAAATCTGAATAAATGATTTTTCTTTATTTTTACTTTAAACAATGTTGTTTATTGAACAGCAACTGGATCCAACTATTCAGGGCAGTGAAGCAGAAAATGAAGATGGACTTGAGCAGTCTTTGTTTGACAGACTTCTAAAAATGGTAAGTGAACATTTGCAAATCCCAACATTCTTTCTTTTTATATGCCATGTTCTTTCAGGACTTAGGCGATCATGGCTCCTCACCTCCCTCCATCCCTTGCAGCTCTCAGCAAGTTCCTTCCCTCTGCTTCCTCCTCAAAACCATGTTCTGTCATCCACCTGCTCAAGCTCGTCAGGTATGCTACACGCTGCTTTCCCGTGTCTCTCTTTCCCGCTATTCGACCCATGAGTATCAGATTCTCCAGGCCCTTCTTCCTCATTATGTGTCCCAGAAACTTCAGCTGCCTCTTTCTGATGTTAAGTATAAGTCACCTCCTTGTTTACAACCTCTCTAAGACCTCATCATTGCTCTCATCATGCTCGGTCCATGATATCCTTAGCATCCTTCTGTAAAACCACATCTCTGTCACCTTGAGTCTCTTCTTCATCTTTGAGGAAATCATCCAACATCCACTGCCATGAAGAAGGACAGATGTCTTGTAACAGCTCAGTATTCTTTTCTTTGTTACCAAAGAAATCCTCCTGTCTCACAATACTCTGCCCAGCTTTTGGAATGCGTCCTTGGCCATCTGAATACATCGACAGATTTCAATGTCACACTTACCATCCTCTGTTAAGATGCTTTCCAGATATTTAAACTTCCTGATTCTAGTGTTCCTGACCTGCAAATCGCATTTCGAGCTCTTCCTCTTACTGATGACCATGCATTCTGTCTTCTTGTAGTTTATGCTTCCATTACAAGGTTTTAATTACCATTGAAAAAAATAAGTTGGCAGTTCTACATTATTACCAAACAAATGTTATTTATTTATGTAATTTAAAAATTAATATATACTCACTAAGAATATAACATTTATAGCCATAAGCTTAATAAATATGTACTATGATATCTATATGACCTTGGAGTTTTAGTGGGAAATTGAAAAACACAATATATCTAAGCCATTTGATATTACCCGCAAAATAATATAAAAACAATTCTTTGTGTTTAATAATGACTTTCTTCAGAGTACACTTGTGGACTAACAAAAAAACTTTGATTAGTCTAAAAATTAACCAACCAAAATTACAATCTCTTTGAGCTACAACATAGAGCATCATAAACATTCAATCAAATTACATAGCTTGTTTTTTCTTACTCTCTATCCACCTTTATCATCTTCTGGATTAATGACAGCATCATCTTCATTATTATTATTAATAATAATAATAATAATTAGCCAGAATACCTTAGGAAGACCAATTCAGACAGCTTCATCTCCAGAACTTACTTTGTGGAACAGACTCCTGTGATGATGCTTCTCCAATCACTACAATCTTAACCTCTTCAGATCAACTGTTATCTATCCTACCTATCTCCCTAATATGCACTTCTTACTTCCTCCCCTTACTCCCTTATAACAACTTTATTCAGTAACTCTCAATCTTGAGTGTCTCTTAGGCCTTGTGTTGGGTGAACAATAGTAAAAAAAAAAAAATATGAATCCTGAGGTGTTATAAAAAGTAGTTTGATAGAAAGACTAAGTTACAAGCAGAAAATACAATCATTTATGAAATTTATAATGGGGCCATTTTAAAGAAGAAGGATCAAAAAGCTAAAGTATTTCTAACTCAAGCAACTGCTGGTTTTATTATTGTTTTAATTTGTAAATATGCATAAATAAATGAAATGAAAAAGATTGTAAAAAATGATTTTTTTTCTTAATAAGCCAGTTTAATCTCAATATATATTAAAACTATTTGGTGAATAAAGGTAAAGTTTCTTTTAGATAATTCTAGTTTTTCCCTGTCAATTTTACAATTTTAAATCATCTTTAGACAAGATGAAAATATTTCTATGAGAATACTTTGGTGCTACAGATTTTTGAATATGTGTGGAACAATTTTGAATGAATTAAAAATCTCTGATAATTAATGACTAGAAGACTCTATTTCAAAAACTTGTTTGGCACTAAATGACTTTTACATAATTAGTTTGCCATACAGTCATACTTGTAATCTTCTAGGTTAGATATTTGTTTATTTAGTCAGACTTGGCCTTAACCAAAGATAATGTTACTTGTAGTCTCACAAGCCTCACTTAATGCAAAACAACCATAACATTATTTTCAGATTTGTGTTGGATACTTCTCTTCTTATAAACCGTTTCTTTCAAAGAACAAGTTATTTAAAGTAAAACTATATTATTTTCTTACAGTCACACACATTGAATTGGTTATTTGAACTTTCACCAACATTTTATTTTGAACTATTTTTATAATATATAAATAACATTTTATGCCTTATAGAAAAAACTCAATCTGGTCATTATTCATAAAATCTTACATAGAAAATTTTACAGTAAGTTTGTATTTCTCATGGAGATATTTTAACATGTAGAAATTGGAATTGTAAGTTGCTGTATTGCAAAATGGTTAAAAAAACATAAAGGATGAAGAAGCATAAATGTTGATAGCCTTGCTGCAACTTTCACAGTGTAAAATAACAAGATCTACCATAGCTGTTTTCCTCCAGAGAGCAACTATCTTAAAGTGCCTATAATTGTTTGTTGATAGGTGGTGTAAACTTTGTTCCTCTTCTTTTCACAAGTAGCACTTCTTTGCCAACACATTTGCTATAAATCTCCTGACCACAGCAAAGATATAGAATGTTTTTTCTGGTGCTCCAGGGAGTGCTTAACACAGAGTGCTACTTTTACTCCATAATGCCTATGCTCTTCACCAACTGCATCACTCACCTCTAGAGCTTCACAAAATGTTGCCATGTCAATCAGAATGATCAACTTCTCACTTCTTGCTAAAGAATGTTTGACTGAGATTATGTAACTTTTGACAACCATGATGGATTGATGATCTGCGTCACCCTCTATAATCCAAATTTTGACACACATTGGTTTTAAGCTGTTTCAATCCAGACAATATCTCCCATCTTGTACACACCATACAGGTCCTGTTAAAGGTACTGCACCAATGCCTTTAAGATGCACCTTGTATTTGTAGATCTTATTGATAGGAAAAGCTGAGAATGAGGCATCATCCTTAGCTGTAAGTACATCACTTCAGGTATAGAACACTGCTTCCTGTACATCAATTCTTTTAACACCCCTATGATACCTTGTCATTATTCTACTTCTTTGATCCAAATGGCTACACACATATATTTCTTCCTTAGTAAAGCACACTCTGCTCTGTGTTGATCTGGATGCCATCTAGTGTCTTAATGGCATTAATTCTAAGAAATTGGTCAAATTCTAATGGCTTTCCATCTACTACCAAAACTTAAATTTTAACCAAATCCACATTACATCTACTAACGTTGATACTGCCAATTTCACAACACTAACACATTTTTTCGGTTATCACTTAGCACATCCATATATTTCCTTCTCCATAGCTGAAAATTAAACAAGAACATTCAGAATCCACCAAAATCATGCACACTTTTCCATCAATCTGGACTTCAATTACAGGTAGAATCACATTTATGTTTTTCTGGGGGAGGTGTCTGGTGCTGATGTCTTTTCTCTCCATTTTGTTTCTCAAGCAATCTAATGAAATGTGACCTAATGCTTAGCAGAGATAACATTGTATTTTTCCTTGTTCTTCATCACATGACTGTTCTTATCCTTCCTGATTGAAGTAAGCCATCTCTAGTTATATAATTAGACACATGACACCTGCAGCATAAACTTGGCAGTTTCTTAGTCTTTTATTCATACTGGTTCCACCATTTTGTATACCAATCATGTAGCTGCCATAGCTAAATTCTATATTTCTGCTTCATTCTTCAATATTGTCCTGGCTTGGGCCAACAGTTAATATTCATAGAATCCATTCATGGAGATGCATGAAGAAGCTGCTTCACATTTTCTGATAACCTAGATACAAATGCACAGAGAGAGTTATACCAAGGGGCATTGACAGTCAGTATAATTCTGCCAAGAATATGTTCATAGTTGTTCATATATAATGAATGAATCAGTTGCAAATGCTGAGTACAATGGTTCTTTTATCACTGTAAGGTCTTTCTTTTTTAACTTAGTATACAATGAATGTGCCACCAGATAAACAAAGTGAAATGACTACCTTAATTTTCTTTTTGTCACATGGTTTATCTACCAGTTCAACTTCTCTCTATTTAATCATGGACTGGTTGTTGTTTTATCAAATTTGGGTATCAATTTTAATCCAAGACATCTTTCTTAAGCTGCAGAAATAGCTTCTTAGGAAGTTGGTTAATTCAATAAACAAATGTTTAGCAAACAAAACTCACGGTAAACAAAAAGCCTAATACCAGTAAATAATCTCACCACAACTTCCACTGAGCAAAAAAATCACAACAGTTCAATATTATAAATAATCTAGCGACAACTTCCATTGATTGTAGAAGTACAAACAACAGCTATCATGATTGTTTTCCTCCAGTTATATATCAAGAACAACCATTTTGAAGCACTTGTTACCAGTTGTTGCCAAGTGGCAGAATCTTTGTTCCTTTCTCTTTTGGCAGGGGACACTGCTTCACTGATACATATATACTGAATTAAAAATAATCATTCAAATTAAACATTTGTGACAGGAAAAGGAACAAATATGAAACGATTTTTAATAGATGTCACATCCATAAAGAAATACATAAATAAAAAATGAATCAAGTAAACAACTAAAAATTAATTATAGTGAATTATAACAATTATAATTATCATTAATTCACTCATTCTAAACCAGTGAGAATCAACCCCACTTTCCTCTTCTACACACAAAAAAATGTGATATTCTCACTATCTGGACAAGCAATTCACACAGACAGGTTGTTAACATGTGTGTCAACAAAAATTTTATCTTCTTTTTCTTTTCAGGTCATAATAGTAACATTCATCTTTTAGCACTCAACAAAAGTTTAAAGTAAGAAAATCCCAAATAATTTTTGTATTTTCTAACTAAATTATCTGGACACTCATTACACACACCTATGAAAAACATAGTCCATATACTTTACTTATACTTTATCTATGCTTCTGTTAGATTCTGATGCATATTTGATCTACATTTGACCCCAAACTCACAATTTTACTCAGTATTACTGTCTCTCATTTTCCCAATATCATAATACAACCAGATAATACTCATTTTGTCTTTTCCACATCTTGATGTTTCTAATTTTTACATGTATTTTTTGTATATATAAACATTAGGGGGCTTATAATTATTTACTTAGAGCTATAACTCCTCTACATTGATAATCTAAGGTTCAAATAAAGATGTTTACTCTAGGATGGAGTGCTAGAGAAAAAGAAATTCCATCCAAATAGATAATATTATATAACACAATAATAATTATGAGTGGCAAAATGTTAAAAATATTGATGAGAAAAGGATTTATATCAATAATAATCCTCTTTAATTTAGTTATTTTCTGTTATCTGACCACTTCCTATTGATATGAAGAAGGCCATAATTTTTTTTTAAATCTTGTAAAATACTAATCATGATGACATATAAAATTTTACTGAAAGTGAATCCTATGCTTCAGTTCTGTATTTGTTTTTTATGGTTTATCAACCTTTTGCAGATTATTCAAAAGCAGAAAATATTTTTAGACTTTAAAATTTTTGGGGAGGTAATAACAATTTACTAATACAAGTCCTACTAATTAACCCATAACTGGGGAGGAGAATTCATACCTTTCCCAAGGTGCGTGTGAGTGAATATAATGAACCTGACTGGAATTTAAACTCTGCACTCCTATTCCAAGTTGTTATCCATTACAATCTCCCCTCCCCACACACGCATATATCCAGTATACCTGGTATTCTCAAGCAGTCATCCATCTAGGTACTGAACAGGCTCAATGTTGTTTAACTGCAGTGATCATATGAGAACCAATGTTTCAACATGATATGGCCATAAATCTTACTCCTTCAAGAAATTTTGTTAATGCTTATATATATTACATACTTTTAAATTACTCCAGGCATACAAATAAAGTATACTCACCCAGGAATAGAGTAAAGTTATTGAGTGGTTGTATTTATTCTTCATGTTAATTATAAATTAAATTAAAATACATTATTCATGTAAAATATGCACATTTCAAATTTTAAGAGTATGGATCAGAAAATGTGATAAAAATTTTAAATCTATAAAATCACTATTTTATTCAGTGTCAATGACGGATTCCAATGTCATTCTTAATATAGTGTCATTCAGTTAGAGTATATCATTAAAAAACATTAAAGTATTTAGTATACTCACTAAGAAGTAACTGTGCATCCAAGAAATCAGAACAGAAATTTTCTAGTAGTTGGAGCTTATCTAGCTTTTTGATTTCATCTGTTCACTATTTTTCATGGCTGCAACTGACAAAACAGCAATTCTAAAACAGATCTGAATATTTTCTTTTTATTAGTGAGTGCCAGTTTAAAAAGATTTTAAATTCAGTTGATAATTAAATTCTGTACTCATGTAAACCAAATATTCATTATTTTTTAGAATCTGTCTATATTTTCTGAGATGAGGTATTATGTACACTATTTAGATTATTCGAACTATTGTCCTCATCTCGGTTGCCATATTTATCACAATGTTTCAGTCATCGTACACTCCAGCCTTCTTCAGGTGGTTGGAATGTCAAACTGAACCTTTTATTTTGCTCACTGGAGTAGACTGTTCTAGTTCCATGTGCCATGTCTAATGGATGTCAGTTATCAGTTATCTCCTGTTAATTTACCTCTCCAAGTTCTCCACTGCCTTAACCAGGTATTGAACTCACAACTCTTTGGCAGTGGAGTATCTAAAAGAATATTTACTTATTTTTCTTTCATATCTGTATCCGAAAAACTTTTTATAAATTTAATTTATCTTATAGTTTATGATATATAAGGAAGAAAGCTGGAAATTTAAGTAGCAGGAATTCTTAAAATTTCCACAATATCTAAAACAATATAAATTAATACTAGATGCTTATTAAGTTTCTTTTTATATTAATATCTTAGTAATTAGTCACCTTGATCTCCTAGACTGTAGGTGCCAAATCAGATCTGCTGGTCACAGTATTTTTAGATATTAAATATCACTACCCAGCTAGCTGGGTGAGCAGGCTAATTTCAACTATTGAATGTTTTGACTCCAGAGATGTCCTTCTAGACTGGTTTCCAATCATGACCCAGTCTATTCTTCTATTTAACCCATAGCTGTTGGATTTATACCTTTCCCTTGGGCATTTGTGTAAAAGTGAATGTGGTAACCTCAGCCAGAATTTAAACTTGAGATACTGATTCCACTTACTAAACCAGTAACTGCTACATTATGCACACAGCCATAAACAATAAGTAACTTAGCATAAGTAATGATATCAAAATGATATTTAATTAAAAACTATTAAATGCTTTTACATTTTTATTATGAAGAAATGTATGCAGTTCACTTTTAAATTAAATGTGTTATGTAAGTAGAGATATGGTATTTAAGTATTAATTGTAGTAATACAGTGTTGACACTGAATTACTTCAACTGGACATTATTTTTAACCACATAGAGAAAGACTATTTACTTTTAATTTCAATTTCAACATGATTCTTTAAAGCTTCAAAAATAACAAACTGACAAAAATATTCTTGAGTTTCAACCACTTTATTTACCCTTTCTTTTTCCTGGATGTACTTTTAGAGGAGGTTAGTGGGTCTCTGGAAATATTTGTATTTTGGCTAGCAGTGTAATAGATTGCTATTAGCCAGCTATATCCCTGCCCCAATCTTTTTTTTTTTTTGACATCAATAATTTGTTTCCTGCTAATTCTGACAACTGCTCCACTATATTAATTGTTTCATTGCAATGTTCCTAAGTGGTAATAGTGTCACTCTCTGTTAGAGTTTAGCACATCAGTAAACATGTTATTCAATTTGGCAACTAGTTCAAGAGAGATTTTCCAGTTTTCATGCACAGGTGGTTTCTGAATTGGCATTGGCTTAACGCTTCTGAGAAAGGTTCACATTTGGATAAATATTTTTCCCATGTTTTGTTATCAGTCCAAATTCTGTTTCTTTATCTTTTCTAAATTTAATATTGAAGCTGCTTAAAATACACAGTTCCATTCATATCTGTCCTGTTAATTTTTTCTGTTGAGCTTGAAGTTTTTCATATCTATGTTTTTTGAAACCTTTATTTTTTCAAAGATTTTGTACTATACAATGCTGAAAAGTTCTCAGTTCAACCTATTTCCAAAAATTTGAGCAGTATTTCATCATTGTAGCTGGGCAGAGTGTAAAGCATCAACTTGTAGTCTCCTTGCGCTTACCTTTGAATTTGTTTCAAATCCTTGACTGATTTGATGTCAGTGGAAAGTGTAAAATTTCTAAGTGTTCAAATCTAGGCCATCCTGAAATTGTTCTTCCTGCAAAAGAAACTCCAAAGGAAATCCATGAATGTATAATGCAAATATTGGGTGAAAAGTGTGCCATACTTATAATCAATTCTGAATAAGTGGCATGCCAACTTCTGGTGTGGAGATTTTGAAATCTAAAATGCAGCCTAATCTCAAAGGTCTTAAATAATGTCTACTCCTGAAATTGCCAATCATGTTCATGACATAATTTCAGCTGATTGATAAATCTTGGTCCAAACAATTGCTGGGACATTAGAGATATCCAACTAAAGTGCTTGGTTTATAATTCATGAGCAATTTGTTATGCAAATGCTGTCAGCCAAGTTGGTGCCAAAAGGTTTTAATACCAACCAGAAATGTTAAACAATATCAAGTGAACACTTTCAGGTTAATTTTGCAATATTTTCACTGACCTGATGATTTTTTTTTGGAACAACTTGTCACTGATGGTAAAATATGATTATCCCACTCTGATAAGGAGATAAAATATCAGTTGGTGCATTGATGGTACTTGGGTTCTCTATGACCAAAGAAATTCAAGATCCTCCCCACCTAAATCAGCAAGAATAATCATTACATATTTTTAGAGATCAGGAATGTATTTTACTGACTATCTGCAGAAGAGCTAAACAATTAGTAGCAAATATTACTCTTATTAAAAGAATTGTTGAAAGAAAAACAACTAAAGTACGCTGCACAAAGTTTATTACTTTCAGTAAGACCTGTTCACCATTTTACTATTTCCTGTTTCCAAACATTAAAACAATTTGAAAGGAAATAAATTTTTCAATGATTCAGAAGTGATAGCAGTAAGAAAGCAGTATTTCAATGACCAAACATCAGATGTTTTTAAGTATTAAAGAAACTTGAAAACGTATGTTCCAAGTGTGTTGATATATAGAATAGCATATAAGTTTCATAGGCATTCTTTTAGTGTTATTTTAAAATGCTTCCCTCTGCACATCACTTCTACTTTTTCCTTAAGTATTTTTATAAAAAAAGTATTTATTCCAAAGTAAAAGGAAGGATAGAGTGGCTGATAATTTATAATACAATTTTGAGGTAAACTCAAGAGTGACACATTATTCACTGAGTGCCCCATACATGCGATGTGCCAAGCTAAAGTAAATTGACAATCACAAATGTAAGTATCAGACATTGATAATTTTATTTGTTCCTTTGGTGGATTAATAATTCAAATAGATCATGAATATGTTATCACCTTCAAAAATAAATATCAATTTTGATCCATTCAGAAGGCCTGACTAGAATGAAAATTCTTAAAATTTGATATAAAAATAACTTGCCAAAAACAGCTAAGATAACTGGATGTAACTGGATAACAGTCAAAATACACTGAAAAAAATAGATTTCTATGCATTGGTTCTGGTTTGATTAAAAAAATGAAAAGTAAATTTATCTATATATTAACCAATGAGAGTGTATACCCAATTTTTTTTTTTTAAAATGCAATTTCACTGATACTATATATAGCAAAAAAGTTTTAAACTCTTGTTTCTTTCCTTGCAAACAATGTGTTCAACTAATTAATATGGTAACCCAATTCCACAACAAAATTAAAAAATTGCAAGTCCAGACTCGAAGATCCAGGGGCAGAAAGAAATGTTGAAATCATGAATTGCAGATCCAATATAACAAATCCCAATAAATGGTCAGAAATCATCATGCAAGCCAACAGATAAGGCAGAAAAAATAAAACTTCTCCCAATTTGAGAACACCAATTGCTTTTATTGATGGAACAATTTTTTCATTGGTCGACAGGTGAAAGCGGACACACAACGTTAGCATATCTGAGATGCATTTATGACCACAGCTGCGACTGACTTGTTTTTCTTTTGGTTATTTTGTCTTCGGCATATTGTACAGAACACACATGCTCTTTTTCTCAGTAAGTGACTTTCTCTTCTGCCACACTATATTAAAAAAGGCAAGGAGAAGCCACAGTACTATCTTTTCTAAGAAGGCATGGTAATTCACGGACAATAAAGAGGAAGAATATATGGAGATCCATAATCACCTATGTTCTGAAGGGAAATGACAATGTGAATTTATCTGAGTTGATACCTGCTAATCAGTATAGGGTCAAATATGTGACCTACAAAGAAAAGAGTTTACATCCACATTAGATATGTCAACACCCTGTCTCAACTGAACTCTCAAAACCCACATCACAAAAAGACTCTAAAATTACGTCCAGAGACTTGATTTTGAATTGCATACAAACTTCATTTATTTCAAATGGCTTGTAATTTTGCAGAACATTAAACAAAGAATTTTGTATTATTGTTAATATATTTTATATTCTAGTTGAAATTATGTCATTGTTTTTTTGATACTAAGTGAAGTTTGTATCAAGTAGTTATGAGAAATACATTGACTTGTTCTCATCACTACTATATACTTGTTCATTTCACTGGTCTTTGAATATTTTTTTACTGTGAGGTATATCATTTGTGAGAAGGTTAAATTTACGGAGTCAAAGATAAACATTTATCCCATACAC